ATCGGCCTCAATACACATACGATCGAGAACCATGCGCATCGTCGGCATAGTCGAACCGCGATACTGCGAGCACATTATCACCGTCCCTGGCATGGAAAACACCATCTCGCGCTGTCGTTAAAAATTACCGCTTCTATCGTCACTTTCTATTCGTATTGTACGCTACGTATTGTAAGTTTCCACCCTCGCACCCAATCGAACGTCTGGGCACTTTGCGGAGCAAAATCACTACTTCAGCGGAGAACAAAAGCTCTACGGACTCAAGATCGAAGCGTCATTGTCGCCCCAAGGCATGCTGGTTGGTATAAGCACCCACGAACCTGGGTCCGTGTCGGACTTGACGCTTTTCCGGTCTCACATCGACCCCACCTCGAAGCCCTACGGATGCGTCAAGATGAGCCAGCAAAAAAAGACAACGGCGATCTGTTTCAAACGAACACTAACTATTGGCGATTTTGGTTAACTAGGGGTATATCGGGCTTGCTGAGAACGTGCGCGCTGTGCATTCGAAGAAAAAGACCGTCAACGGGGCGCTCAATCGGACTGACCTTTACCGCTGCACCGCTGTGTAGTCCGACCACTTCACAGTCGAGAGCATTTTTGTTCACATCTGTCGCTTATGGAAGGTTTCCTGCTAGACAGACACATGGTCAATCAAGTTCTTTGATTCTCTTCACTGTATGACCTATGCTATACGAGCTTCCACGTTGTATACTGATACTCTTACAAGAAATCAAGATGTGTACCGCTCGGTTCTCACCCGGCGCGCGCGTGGCCGAGGAAAAGACGACGACCAAAGCGATCAATCAGCGCCGCGCTGAACACATGGCGCTCTGCCGTCGTTGCCCGCATTGTTTCCGTCTTGAGTCCCCTCTGCGCCCGCCGTTGATATCAATCATCTAAGACCATGAATTTGATGTGAATTAGATATTTCTCCAAGATTTTCTCTTTAGAGCAAATTATTCCTATCTATACTTTATTGTGCCTAAATGTATGGTATGGTGTTCTTCAATAACTCGTTGATATTAATTAAGTTAGTGATTACTTTATATAGTACTTGAGTTAACTTGATTGACCAGAAGCTGAAGGTAAATTAGTCTCTGGGTCTGAATCAGACACGAGTGATCAGAGGAAAGGCGATGTTAGGAATATCTCGGTCGTGGTTCAGTCATTCGTTGCAGCGACAAACAAGTCGGTCATTGACAAAGATCGCACTTTTTGAAAATTTGTCTTCGTTTTCCGTCAGATGAATACACAAATCGCTAAAACTGAAACCTTTGTTGCAAGATGAATGGATTGGAGATACACGGGTATTAGAGAGGTTTTGCAAACCATTCCAGTCATTATCCATTCCTCACATGAGCATATGTTGACAAAACATGAGTGCCCCTTTGAAAATTTGTTGTGGAACCTTTACAACCTGATTGACCTTCCACAAATCTGGTGAATTGTGCGGAATGAATCCACAGAGCAGATTTCGGGACAAGCACAGCATGCCGCCCAAGTCGAAGCGGCGTAACTTCTCCAAAGAGGAGGACGTGCTCCTGCTACGTCAAGTAGCTTCTGAAATGCCTTTCCTTGCTCGCCATGGCCTCATCATGGATAAGTGGACGGCAGTAGCGCATGCTCTTGCGTCGTCCGACGAGTTTGGTCGTCCTGACTTTGACGGCAAGAAAGCGAGCAACAGGTTCAGCGCTCTCATCGAAGCTCATAAGAAGAAAAAGAACGAGTTTGCGCGTGCGTCAGGTGTCGCAGAGGATATGACCGAGAAGGATGCCCTCATGGACGACCTCATCGCCGCGTACGATGACGCAAAGGAAGAAGCACGACGTGCCATCGAGTCCAAGCAAGCTTTGGAACAGAACGAAAGCATGGGAGCGTTTGTTCGTGAAGAGGCCATGACCTCGTTGGGGAAACGCAAGAAAGGTGACGATGACAGTGGTGGAACTGCTGGTGGTGGCAAAATGATGAAAGCAATGATAATGCTGCACGAGCAGTCCAATGCCGAGCTCGATTTTCTACGGGAAATGTTTCATCGTGAAATGGAAGAACGTGAAAAGGACAGAATGATACTTGCAGAGCAAATTCGCCAACAACATGAATCAACATTGAAACAACAGGAATCGATGTTGAACTTGATGAATTCATTGATAAACAAATTGTAATGCAAATGAGATCTTTGTTTTCAAGTAACAACTACTTCCAGCATGTGGAGGTATTCTTCCACGGTGGGAGGCTCCATGTTGAAGAAGTGACTGATTTGGTTTCCACGGAAGTGACAGCAGTGGCAATTAGACAGCAGCATCGCAATAGACACAATTTTTGCCACAGGTGAGAGTTGAATCTTCGAAAGCATCTGAACGTGATAAAAGACCAAAGTGTCTTCAAGATTTTGAAGTTCCACTCAGCCGACTGGCGAACACAGCTCATCCATTTATTGAATTCTTGCTTGAGTGGGCCGATGTTGTTCCATTTAAAGCCTGACAACAAGAAGTCCACGATTCCGTACGCTGGGTCGCCGTAGATGAATTTGGCCGAAAAGACACCACGATGATGACCAAGGAATTCGAGCAGCTTGCTGTGACGAAGCATGGTGGCGTCATGTCGGCGGCCTTCCATTGGACCAAAGAAGTGTACACAGTGGCCGTCCGGACAAAAGATGGCTTGGTGCACCTTAGTGTCTTCAATAAACCCATAAACGCAGGTCAGTGGAGAACCTTTACGGGCAACCGAAGCGCAGTATCTAAATAAATTGTTAATACAAAGAAATAGGACTAATGAGTACTTGTTGGTATTCTTTGTGACCAAACGCAGGTTGAATAACAAAAAGTTTCCCCAAAGATTGTACAGGACATTGATGACGTGCAGAAAAATTTCACAGAGAGCAGATCGGGATCTACCAAATGTCTTTGACATGTCATGTAGTCGAGTAGGGAAAGCAAGCCTTCCTAACAAGATGCACATTGCTTCTTCGCAATGGGCACGGTTGCGATCTTGAGTAGCCACAGCAGCAGGAAGGCCAAGAAGATGGCCAAGTTGTCGTATGCCGCTGACGTCGAACCTGTAATCGAGTATGGCATTGGCGTCACTCACAGAGTCTAATTCCAGTCGAATGTCGGGTATCAATGGCCTCTCGATTGATTGAGAGGCCAGCATTGCCATCAGAAAGCGCTGCAGTCTTGTGCTTCTGACCTTCGAGAGGAGAAGCAACCCCTCACTTTGAGTGACGGCCATGCGTGACGCTTCAGTGTCGAAGTTCCCAACCAAATATAACGATTCGTTTCCGATTGTGTGAAAGGTCTGGATGCGGAAACTGCAAAACCAACTTTATCAAATTCCAGACACTTTCTGCAGAGCGACATCTGTCGAAACTATCGTGACTGGATAATGTGTGGAATGGTTTGCAAAACCTCTCTATTGATGTGGTGACCGCTTACGTCAAATCTCACTGAAAGATGAAAATTTGAAGTCAAAATACAGGATGGAAGAGTAAAGTCAGTGAAATGTTGGAAAACTATAGCTGATGACGTACACCATGGACGGGGAAGCTTAATCAATTGGATTGGGTAAAAAAAAATTATTTATTACCAATCAAAGTGCATTTCGTGGATGCTTCTCAATCGATGTAGGTACATGTTCGTCGACATCGTGGTATCAAACGTAGGCTTCCCATATCGGACACAGTGAAATCGCCGTCATCGGCATGGAACCAGCTGGGCCAATCCTTTGTATTCCTGCGGGAGAACTGATGCATACGCCAGTCCCCTTCAGCAGGGTTATGTTGACCGTTTTGCCCTCTTTTGACCTCGTTAGATTCAAAAACTCCCCACAGTTCCATCTTTTCAGCCAATCAGAGGACATCAATCATCCGGATAACGGCCATTTCCAGATACGGCATGGTCAAGTCACCGCAAATGTCCATTTTCGAATCCATCCAGACGCGGGTGAAACATCCGCGTACGAACATGGCATCTCTATTCCTTTTGCCTCCGCCACACATGAAAGTAGTCGTGCGTGTGCGTCCCATGCTCGCTGCTGAGGTCAAGAAAGGAAGCACTCGGTGTGTCGACGTCATTTCGACCTCGAACACGTGCCAACAGGTTCAAATTGACGATCACGTGTTTGACGTTGATCGAGTCTACGACGAACGAATCAACCAGCGCGACTTCTTCCACAAAGAGTTTTCCACCTTGATTCCTACGCTCTTTGACGGGAACAATGTCACGGTATTTGCATGTGGCGCCAGCGGCAGTGGTAAAACGTTCACTATGGAAGGCGCGGGCAGGACTGTGGCGAAGAATCCGGGTCTCGTACCGCGAATTATGCAGAAAGTGTTCCAATACGGACAGCAACAGGTCGCAAACTACCGCGTCGAAATGTCGTTCGTCGAAGTCCACAACAACAAGGTGATGGACTTCCTCGCCCCAACAGCGCACAAGTTTCACCAAGAAGAGTTGTCTCTCTCAACCTCTCCATGCGGACGTGTTATCGTGGACAACTTGATCGCTCGGCACATTTTATCCTTTGACGACTTCCAAGGTTTGTACGAACGCGCGTGTAAGACTCGGCGCAAAGGCACAGCCACATACCATACACGCAGCAGTCGCAGTCACAGCCTGCTCCATGTGCGCGTCGAATCGCGCGGGTTCGACGGACTTGTGCGCGTGGGGCACCTGCATCTCGTCGACCTTGCTGGCCAAGATGACATTTGTCCAACTGTCCAAGAATCTGCGTGCATGATGCTCGACATGCAACCACTTGACGAAGTTCCGATTGCTCGGTTGTTGGCCGACAGCGTTGCGCATTCGTCCATCGCTGTCATGGTATGCACCGTGTCATCCGCCTCTGTCGTGGCCAGGGACACGCTGCAAGTGCTGCAACACGCGGCAAAGAAGCAGCAAATCGTGCCCCCAACAGCATTGCCCAGAAAGTCCACTCCAGTCTCGTCTCCACCTTCCACCGTATCGCCGTCTTTTTCTACATCACTCCGTCCGACTTTGGAGCTCACGCCCAAGACCCGGCCTGCAGCCTCGCCGTCCATGGATACGCCCACACCATGTGCAAAGAGACGTCGAGACGAGTCGCCTTTGTCAAATCCCACCAAGTCAATGAAGCGATTCCGATTGCAGCAAGAGTCGTCGCCTTTGCCCACAGACCAGTTCACCGTCGGCTCAAACGACCACCGTAATGTTACCACACGTCGGTTGCAGCCCCTCATAGATAGTCGCGTCGAGCCTGGTCGTGCCTTCTTGCATCGGCCACCCCAACTGTAAGTGACTTTTATGCGTGACATTGGCAAGTTGCTCAACGACAATTGTAGGGCGAAGGAAAGCATGAAGCACTTGCTGACAATGGCGGTAGATTTTGAAAAACGAGGCAAGGCTCGGCCCGCCATGTTGCTATACATGCAGGCCACAATGCTCTTGGACACCCCAAACGAAAAGCTTCAAGCTCGAATTCGCTCCCTCATGTCCGCACTGCCCACAGCCGACGTGCACGAAGTCTTGCAACCCAGTAACCATTCAGTCCACGACGCCGTGCAGCACATCTTGGAAGAAGACATCCTCGACACGTTCAACCACGGGTCCATGGCAGCGTTGATGGCATTTCAGAGCATCGGCGAAAAGAAAGCGATGAAGATTATTCGCGGACGCGACAAGGTCGAGTACACGTGCATTCACGACTTGATGAAGGCCGGGATGGGCGAAAAGCAAGTCGTGCGCTTTGAACAACTCAACGTCGCTGCCCGGTTGAGTCTGTTGTAACAATAACACCATCGTCCGACCTAAACCCGTGACCGGTGTGTCCGTGATGGGACTTGACTGGTGTAACTTGATGGGTGATGGATGGGTCTTTGCAGTTACTAGTCGCCACCACACATGCCATGTCGCCACCACGTCTCAGGCAGCACCCCATCACTGTCCGTCCCCTCGTTCAATCCTTCATTTCGACATTGCCAGGACTCTCATGGAGAAGTCCCCTCGCCCGGCGACGCAATTCTGTCCTCATGCACCCCCGCCTCTTTCGTACGCGGCCCGACCTGCGGCGACGGCATTCTCGTTTACCGCATGCGCAGTAGTTGCCGATCACGTCGGCCATGTACTCGACTCTCCACTGTGGCGCTACACAATCCTCGGCGCGCTTGTCGTCGAGTTGGTGGGACAAGGTATTGTCTTGCTCGAGTTGGCGTCGCAGCTGCATGTATGGGCCACGTCCCCGTGTGTGTTCTTGACTACCCTTGACGTTATCTCGCAACATCGGGTCTACCGGCACGTCCTCTGTCGTTCGCGCCTGGTCTTCGCAGATGCCGTGCTCTGGATGTGTATGCTAATTGTGTGGCTATCACGCCTGTGGACGAATGATACACTCTATGAAGGCCAGCAAGCCATTGCATCCCCGACCGTCGTTCCCCTCGTCTATGTCGCCTTCGCGGCTTTGCGGCTTGTAATCTTTCCCCGCGCCAGACACGCTGCAAAGGCGTTGGAGCGCCAAGGTCCAGTTGCCAACAGTCGAGCCGCTGACGTGGTGCACAGTGTGACCCCACGAAGGCATGGTGGCTCGATTCGACAGGGCACGTCACTCGCTCCAACACATTCACCTCATGGTCAGGAGTGCTCGAGAGTTCCACCAGTGTACATGACGTCGGATGTCGTCCTCAGCACGTTGTCGCACTGGGCGACCCAGCAGTGCGACTTTGCGTGGTGCGTCTTGGTCATGCTGGTGAACGCAGCGATCCATCCTGTCCAGGCATACTGCCTCCAACACGTATTGGATCATGCGTTTCCGTCCACGGCGAATCGGTCGTCAGCCGACCGCCAAATAGCATTGCATCGTGGCATGGCCGGCCTCATTGCCCTCTGTGTGCCGTTTGGGCTGAGCACGGTTGGCATTGGCATGCTGCAGTCTCGAATGGTAGCCCGCGCCACCGCACGACTCCACTCGCGCTTGCTTCGCGTGGTCCTTGCCCAACCTGCCACGTACTTCGTCCACGACGCCAAGGTTGGAGACGTCACCAACGTGTTCGCCAGCGACGTGGCGCGTGTCAATGCATTATGGCAAGGCGTGTTTTGGAACCTGCTGCACCCAGCAATCGTGGCGGCGGCCGGGTTTGGCTACCTCCTCACGTGCGATTTCCACACGGGGTGGCTCGCGCTGTGGGTTGCAATCGTCGTCGTATCAAGTGGTCCCCAAGGCCGAGCCGCCGCCAACTCGACTGCGTTTGGCGCGGCCAACGCTGACCTCACGGCGTCGTTTCAAGACACCCTCCACGGCCACGCAACGGTGGTCGTGTATGGAATGCAGCCGTCGATCCAGGCCAAGTTTGACGCGAACGCCCAAGCGCTGTCGTCCATCCAATTCGCCAAGGACCTGTGGGCAACCCTCGTGCAAATTTACGTCGAAGGGGCCATGTACATGTTTGTCGCTGTCGTGACGGCTGGGCTGGCCACAAGGGTTGTTTCGACGCACACGATGACTCCTGGAGAATTTGTGAGCTTCGTGGCGCTCTTGGGGCGCATTTCGTCGCCCATCACGGTGCTCGGGGGGTTTATGCGCGTCGCGATCGGCAACTCGAGCAGTTTGCAGCGCGTCGATGCCCTACTCGCCCTCTCCATCGACGCCCCGCCAGAGGACGCTCGTTCCAGCCCATCGTCTCTGCCGTCGAACTCATCTTCGACGACGACGCCATCGTTGCAAGTGGCGTTGACCGTGTTCCAGGTGACCGTCCTGGTCAGTCCTGCAGTGACTGTCGTATCGGACGTGTCGTTTACGTGTCGGCGAGGGTCCGTCACATGCATCGTAGGACCAAGTGGCAGCGGCAAGACGTCTGTGCTGCGCTGCCTCATGCAAGCGGGGCCACCCCCCGCGTCGGGATCGATTTGGTGGGACGACGCGCTCTTGTCGTTGGCCCATCAGATTCATGTCGGCGTGGTGTTCCAGCACCCGCGCTTCCTTCAAGGCACGATTCGGGAGAATCTGTGCTACGGCCATCCCACCGCATCCGACGCAGACTGCCACGACGCCATTGTGATGGCGCACTGCCTTGCATTTGTCCACAATCTGCCCATGGGAATCGACACAGACATGGCGAGTGTGCAGTGGAGCGGAGGGCAACTTCAGCGACTGAGTTTGGCCCGCGCGTTGGTGCGGCGGCCTAGGTACGAGACTGCGACAATGCATCTGCAACTCAATCGTGTCGTGGTTGGGTAGTGTACTGCTTTTGGACGAAGCGACGAGTGCGCTAGATCAAGAGGCTGAAGCCGCAGTGATGGCCACCCTCACGTGGCTTGCCAAAACCAACGGGACAGTCATCGTCGCCGTGACACATCGTCTGACAACCACGAAGATGGCCGACCACATTGTAGTTCTCCATGCGGGACGCGTGGTGGAATGTGGTCGACATTCCGACTTGATGGAGCGCCGTGGCGTCTTTTACGACTTGGCTCGTGCAAATGGTGCAATGGATCAGTCGGACTACTACATGTGCGACGATGCAAGCGTGACGAGTGAAGAAGGCGATCATCATGATCGTGGGGATGACTGCCAAGGTAGCAATCACGGCGACGTGTACATGGTGTTGTAAGTTATAAGTTCTTCCTCGAAAACACGTCGTTGATGGGGGCGCGGGGTTCGTCCGTGCCGCGGAAGAGGGTATTGCTGTAGAGCTCCATCATTTCGCTAGAACAGGGCAACTACCATGAGGACGCCAGCGGGATATGGGTCGATATATACTTCTTTTGACGCAACTGCTCCTTCGCCCTCAGAATCTCCTCTTGCTGACCGTCCAAGCTGACGTCGATACCAGGCAAGGACGTAAGCAACCTCGCGGCGTCCTCGTATTTCTTCTTGAGAGAAGTGGCCGTTGCAGACACATCGCCGACGCGTGTGGATTCTTCGTTGGTTCCGGCCGTCAAGATGTCTTTGAGTATGTCTATCAGGAGCGGCAACATGTCAAACTCCTACACACGTAGACCACTGCCTTCTTCAATCCCTGTCGGTGTACACGGATCCACGGACCTCATGGAGCTTCTTGGCTTCGTCGTTTTGCTCCATGGACGGATTCGACGGTGGACAAAGAATTGGAATCGTTTCAAGGAATTTTTTTTCGAAGAATCGGTGAATTTTCGGCGGTGCTTTCGAATTAAATTGCATGATTCGGGAAAGGGTTACAAAAAAATTACGCACATGGTCCAGTCATAAAAAAGAAATCAGCGACACAATTTTATAAAGCCAGGCACAGTGACGACAAAAAATATCATTCGCCGAGCTCAACTTGTTCAAACGAGATCTGCAACCCCCCACCCATTCCATCTTGCATTACTCCTCGGCGCCGATCCGTGTGTCGCCAACTCATCGTCCATCACGCACGCCAAGCGACCAGCCTGCGCAGATAGCATGGGCAACAAACAAGGGAAGTTGAAACGCCGCAGTGGTGACGACCGACCCAGCCTCGCGGGATCTGCCACCGCCAGCGAGCGGAAGCGGTCGATTTGGTCGAAAGCAACTGGGTCGTCGTCGCCACCTCCACCCCCGCCGCCGCCATCGATTAGCTCGGACACGCCACTGGCAGTGAGTAGCCCTTTTTCGCCTCAACACGAACCTCAACCAGAGTACCAGCCGCTAAAGTCGATATCGTCTCCCGCCTCCGAGACGCGCGACCTCGTCGAGCACACTCATTTCAGCGCCAAAGAAGTGGACTCAATTCGTGAAAATGTGTTTTCGCTCTTGGGGTACACGCTGAGCCAGACAAGCTACGTCGAGATCTCCATATCCAAGGATGACTTCATGAAGTTTCTTGGCGTTCCGTCCCAGTCGCTGTTCCCGAGTCGCCTCTTTGCCATCTTCGCTGCAGGGCCCAAGAAAGACACGGTAAGTTCATGTCTTCCCATGGAAATCGCCACTCATTTGTCGTCGCATGTTGCACGCAGCTGACGTTCCCTGACCTTGTCCGCGGTCTCTCGATCTTGAGTCATAAAGCGACTCGCGACGAAAAATTGCGCATGGCATTCCAGTTGCTCGACCCGATGAATTCGGGCTGCATCACGCGTGACGCGACGGTCCGTGTGCTCAAATCTTGCCTCGAGGAATCCAAAGGTGAATTCTCTCGTCGTCCGACTACATCAACCTCATGGTGCGATGGACATGCAGAAATCGGCCTCACAGACGACCAAATCAACAAACTGGTCGCGTCAACCTTCCAGGACGCCGATCTCGACCGCGACGGCGTCATCAACTTTGCCGAGTACCAGGCGTTGGATGCGCGACACCCGGGCCTCCTCGAGTTTCTCACCGTCGACACGTCCGGCATCCTGAGCAGCCTGGACAAGCAAAAGTCGTCGTTATCCTTGTCCCAATAAACCACACTCCTCCCCCCCTCCATTGCAAACGTCGCCTTTATTCCCATCCAGCTGCCATCGCTTCCAGATTCGTGTCGCGATCGCCTGGGGACGAAGGGAGCATCGACGTCCATGTACTCCTGATCTCTCCATCGAGAGGCCCTGGATGACTGCACATCAAACGATTACGTCGTGAAGGCCTTTGCAGGCCACTCGACCGCCAGCTTTGTGCCATGATGCATGACGTGTGAAGGCCCTTCGAGCCGACCCATCGCTCCTCCTTCCCTCGTAGCATCCTCGTCGCGATAGAATGCAAGATGGCGCTTGGCTGCATTAACCACAACGGACGTATCTACTGGACGAACCGCAACACGACACTGGAGCGTATTTTATGCCTTGGTAATGGGGAACGTGCCAGTGTGACCATAGAGGTCCAGGTATGCCTTTTGTCGTTGAGCCAAGCTATACCACATCCACGATGAGACATCGAGGTGGCGTGGAGGTGCAGTTTATACCTGTGAGAGACGGCGCTCTTGTTGACGCCAATGCCCCACTTGCTGAACGATGCTAAAGGCGACGAAATGGCGGTAGCCGTAGGTACAGCAGCGACAGGGGCAGGTTTAGTCACCACAGGCGCTGGGATGGCAGGTCCTGGCACGATCTTTTGCGGAACTTGTGGCGTGACGAGAAAGTCGGATGGGACCACGGGGGCTTGCGTGGCAGGGTCAACATTCACTTCATGTTTCTTGGGAGGGATTTCTTCGGGGGACTTGGGGGTAAGAGGCGCGGTAACAGCAGCAGCATCCGCTTTGAAGTCCTTGAACGCGGCAATGCTTTCTTCCGAATCCACAGTGACCATGATGGGCTGGCCCACAACGATACCTTCGGTGCCTTCAGGGACGAGTATACGAGCAAGGAACATATCGTCCTGCGCTTCGTAGTCGACGACTGCCTTGTCCGTTTCGATCTGGCAAATGATGTCGCCAGCGTTGATCGCGTCACCTTCCTTGAGCAACCATTTGGACAAGTTGCCCTGTTCCATGGTGGGAGACAATGCAGGCAAACCTACAACCTCGTGCGACGGAAGCGAGAAAGCACGCACGCTCATGTACGTCGTGCGACGGGCAATCACGGCGGCAGCCGCGCGCATTGAACGGTGCAACATGGCCAATTCCCGATCGATGGAAAATGGTCGGCCACGAAAGGGTGATTCGTCACGCGCACATCACAGAAGGATTTGTTTAAAACACTGGATAAAATTCGATTTTATTCCGGTGCCATGTTTTTTAGGTCAAATTTTCAATCCGCCTCGTGAGGATTTCATCGGTGTTTTAAACTGTCAGGGAAATCCGTCGTTCCGTGCAACATGATTGGTCGATTTCACGGACGTGACGCATCGGTTGACAACCTCGACGATTGACGTCGGCGACCCTTCAATCCGACACGCTGCCACTCCACGAGCTCCGTCGGTTGTCGACGCCACTACTGGTTCCTAAGGGTTGCCGTTGTCTCATTCATCGTTGGAGAGCTGCCTTGGCTGGAGCTGATTCCGATGGGAAACGTGCCCCCCCAACCTCAGTGCAGCGTGTGGTGGGCGTAACGTTTCGTGGAACGGTCACGAGCAGGCGGTTTCCAAGCTGCTGGATTTTGAACAGTTCGCGACGGACGGGATGGATCCAAGGCGAGACAAGGAAAGTCGTTGCAGACACCGACCAGGCGCTCCATGCGGGCTCCAGTTGTCGCGGACGGGTGTACTGTAGTGCGTACAACGTGTTGTGTGGGAATTGGGCGACGAATCAATGAACCGTCCGTCCTTGGGTTCCGGATTATCCACGTCGGTACTGGTACACTTGGGCCGAAGACACCACCCTGATTCGATGCGTTGGCGCTTCCGTGGCGGCACCCACGGCTCGTGCGTCCCTTGTGCATGCCACGACCAACTGGCGTGCACTCGCTCGTCGTTGTGACGCTACTGGTAGCTGGCTCGGGCGGGTTGTGGCAGCGCGTGTGGTGGCTGGGGCCCAAATTACACACTTCTGGACTTCAGCTAGATGCCCTGGTTCCAAATGTACTTGAATGCGCGAATTCCTGTTGAAAATCAAGGATAAATTGCACAATTGCTCGCAATTTGGATGAATTTTCTCCAAAATCGACTTAAATCCAAGGCGAGAGAACTCTCCCGTTGCTGTGTTGAATTTTAGCCAATCCCCAGACGCCGCCAAAGTAGACAGTTAAACTCCTTCAAACGTTACACACTCTCTGTAGATTACGCATCAACATTTAATTGCCGCGAGGGATAATATAATTGAAGTATAGAAATCAAAGGTAAAAAATAAACGTCGGAAAATACAAATTGTCGGTCGAATTATATTTCGGCACGTTTGCGGGGTAGAGAATCCGGATACGGAAATCTAATCCGCATACCAGCCGTGACTGCCTCCCGCCGTTCTTAAAATACAACCACCGCAGTCGCCGAGAGTTCCTTCAGCGGCGGCTTTCCCTCATGTCCGCGATGCTCAAGGGTCGACAGAACAATGACATTCTTACCGTCGATCAGATTGTAAATGAGGATGACTGGGTACCCAACTCGGAACGGTTCCGCTGCCACGTTTGCACGCGCAACTTCCACGCGATGCGCCGACGGCACCATTGCCGGATGGTACGAACAACATGCTCGTCACAGGTCGAAGGAAACCACTGATTGACCCTCGTGTGCTCTACAGTGCGGCGAAGTGGTGTGCGGCAACTGTACTCTCAAGAAGTTGGCGCAGATCCCGCAGCGTGCGACGCTGCAAGAAGTCCGTGTGTGTATGTCGTGTATTCTAAACCACGCCAACAAGCAGGCAAACCCGATGCACCACGGCCCCCCTGCGCAAGCCCAAATTCAACGTGGCGGGCGTGGCTCCATCCAAAGCACGCGCACGGACACGCATTCCCATACAGGAGAAATTCGCTACAGCAACCGTGAAAGCAACATGGACCGTCTCGACTCTCCCCCCGAGAACTCGATCGGTGAACGCGCCCATTTTACGCGCAGTGACCAGGGTGAAAATGTCATTGACTATCCGTTGGACTTCAGCTGGGGCTACGCGTGGCCCAAGCCGCCCGTGCTTCCGGACGAAGTCGAGCGACTTGCCGTACTTCGCAGCTTTGATGTATTGGACACCCCCACGGAAGACGTATTTGACATCATCTGCGACCTTGCCAGCAACGCACTTAAGTGCCCGATCTCGGCCGTGAGTTTAATTGACGAAGACCGGCAGTGGTTCAAGGCCAGCGTCGGCCTCGCGCAGACTGAAATTCCGCGCAACGTGAGCTTTTGCGCGCACACGATCATCTCAAAGGAGCCAATGGTCGTGCTGGACACGCTGCAGGACAAGCGATTCATGAAGAACCCGCTCGTGACGGGTGGCGCCGGCATCCGCTTCTACGCCGGATCTCCGATTTGCACGCCGTCGGGTCACGTCATCGGCACAGTCTTTGTGTTTGACAACCAGCCACGGACGTCTTGCGACCTCGCAACTCTGGAAAAGTTGTCAAATGTTGCGATGAAGAACTTGGAAGACCGAAAGAACGGAACGGCACCGTTGCCACCGATGAACAAGCCGCTCCCACCGCCTGAAAACGGAGTCGCTCCCCCGCCTGCCCCTTCGGCCCCCGGTGGTGTCATCGTCCCTGTGGCCCCAAACGACTTGAACACACAAGACCTGGTCGTCCAAGGACCAGCCGGCAACGGACCGGGCGACGGGCAAGTCGTGGCCGGTCCCAAGATGGAAACCATGCTCATGGACTTGTTGTGCCGCACGACGGAAACCCAGCAGCAATTAGCGGCGCAGCAAGGGGTGATGTTTCAGCAGTTGGGCCAGCACACTCAGAAGATTGATGAGTTGGCGGATGCAGTCAAGCGAATGGAGGCCAAGTTGGACGGCATCTAAGATTCCACTCGTCGTCGCAACTCCCCACCGTGTCGTCGACGTCGCTGCTGCTCACCACCGTCGTGTTTCTGTCATAAGCATTATCCCTATAGAAAACGGACTGGGACCGCCGTCTCGCATGTAATACATCACAAATTCCTCGACTCATCCGTCGTCCTGACAGCCCCGTTGCAGAAGGTCCTGCATATAGAATGGCCACATCAGCGCTGCAATGGCGACTCCTCCCTGGGACGATGCCAAACACTCTTGTACTGGTTGCGATGCTTCCAACGCAGATGCACACTCGACAGCACAAACGTCGATTGTACCTTCGCGACACAATCACTGCTTGTTGAGTATTACTCCACTTTCTAGCGCTTCTCGCGCGTCTAACTTGGCCTCCATGCGCTTGACGGCATCTGCAAGTTTGTCGATCTGAACGGTATGTTGCCCCAGCGTTTGGAACATCGCACCTTGCTGCGTTGCAAGTTGCTGCTGCGTCTCGGTCGTGCGGCACAGCAAGTCCATGAGCATGGTTTCCATCTTGGGGCCACTGACGACTTGACCATCGCCAGGGCCGTTGGTTTGGACAACCAAATCTTGTGAGTGCAAGGTAGAGGTCGCGGGAGCTGGTGGTGGTGGGACGGGAGGGGCGGCCACGACGACCGCCGTCGGCGCCGGGGCGAGTACTGGGCCTGGCACGACGTCGGCTGCACTTTTTCGGTCTTCCAGGTTCTTCATCGCAACGTTCGAAAGCTTTTCCAGCGTTGCAACGTCGCAAGACGCCCGTGGCTGGTTGTCAAACACAAACACAGTGCCCAAGACATGGCCAGACGAGGCGACGATGGGCGATCCGGCGTAGAATCGAATGCTTGCACCTCCAGTTACGAGCGGATTCTTGACGAAGCGGCGGTCTTGGTGCGTGTCCAGCACGACCATGGGCTCCTTCGAGATGATTGTGTGCGCGCAAAAGCTCACGTTGCGCGGAATTTCAGTCTGCGCGAGGCCGACGCTGGCCTTGAACCACTGCCGGTCTTGGTCAACCAAACTCACAACTGCGATGGGACACTTGAAGGCGTTGCTCGCGAGCTCGCAGATGATGTCAAACACGTCTTCCGTGGGCGTGTCGAGGATGTCGAAGCTCCGGAGGACGGCCAATCGCTCTTGTTCGTCCGGGAGCACGGGTGGCTTTGGCCACGCGTATCCCCAGCTAAAGTCTAGCAGATAATCGATCGTGTCGGAGAGATCGGCGCGGCTGCCATGACGACTAGACGTCGTATCGTCAAAAGTTGAGCTCCCGCCGCGCGGCGAGAACCGAGATGATGGCATGTACTCCGAATTCTTCCGGGTATCAATGGTGTCCCGCGCCGAGTGTCGCCTGGAGCTTTCGGATGTGGGATGCTTTCCCGACGACGCGACCTGAGGCGGCAAAGGTATTTGTGCCCCGTTTTGCTTGGTCGCGTGCAACAGTATGCACGACATGCACACTTTTACATCCGTGCGACCTTTCACCGGCAATTCCGCATACTTTTTGAGCAAGCAGTTATAGCACACGACTTCGCCGCACTACAAGGACATGCTGAGTTCGCAGAGAACACGAGAACGAGAAAGGTTGTCGTACGACGCGGCAATGGTGGCGGCGGCGGAGCTTGGTAAAGTTGCGCGTACAGACATGGCATCGGTGGCGCTCCGAGTCACGAACCCAGTCGTCCTGGTGCATTAGCTGGTCCATGCGGAGGACTTCCGTGCTGTGGCTGTTGACGCGCATCATCTCCTTGCTGTGCATCGCGCCCAGGCCGTTTCTCTCTGGTCGCCCGTCCTCTCCTGCGACCCGTTCACTTAGGTACCTTCAGAAGTAACCTTCATGGCACGTCTCTGATTGGTCCATAAATTTCGTCGAGGCAGTCACATCGAAATATTATCTCAATAGAATACATATATCTGATCCATTGAATATTTGCGGTTCACATTACTACGTTGTACGGGAGGAACGATCCCTACTAGCATGGTGAGGTGCTCGCAAGCCTCGGGACGGCGATGTCAGAGTCGCCCAGCGATCCACCATGGGTTTTTCCGAGGGGGATGCAGCATACGTCGGACTATTCCAGGTGTTCGGGACAGACAATCAGTCGAACTCTGGCTTCATTGTGGTATTGAATGTTCCGGATAGCACTCCAATCGGCATGGAGTGGTGCCCAATTATCCGGATATCTCACCCACGGTATACGTGCTCCAGGCGGCGTCGTCGAGAATTTTTGGATGGGCACATGCTGGCTCGGTGCGCTCTTGGAGGCCGATTGTCGGGAAGAGTCCACTCGTGGTGCGCGCCACGTGCGTGAACGATCCAAAGTCTGTCTCTGCCAAGTCTTGGTTGGTATCGTCGCTTGCGTCCATGCTAAAGCACATATCACAACGGACGGGATGCCACCGCTCTTCATCCTGTGGTTGTGTCGAGAGTTGAGTTCAACCAACGGATGGTCTAAAGCCCAAACCAATCCTCTCTCCTTGGACGTATGTGCAAGTTCCCACTTGCGGCTCCGACTTTCGCATTCGAGGATGGACTGGCTTCAAAGAGACATGACGCCCCTCGACCCCACACACACATCATGCCGTGTTCAAAGCACCTTTGCATGCGTCCTCAGCTGAGGAGCGACCATGCTTCGTCCATAATCCGTACGTCGATGAAGTGTCCAATGCAACTCGATTGAATTGATGAGAATGAACTCACGCGCAACGGCCGCCTCGACGGAAAAGTCCTCTACGCAAATGCACCAGCAGTGGCCACGCATGCCGGCGTGATCTCATCTCTGCGTATTCGCGGGTCTTTCCGATGATCTCGGGGTGTCGTCGGACTTTGAACGTCCGTCCCCGATCTTGGAACTTCACCATATTCGACTGCCACTGGCAGTACACATACGATTGTTTGCCGGGATGAATTCCTCCACATCGCTGCATCGGCTGGGCTTCATGATGCTTTAGCGCCTCCATACAGCACTATTCTCCGCCACACTTCAACGCGACCCTCATGTTCAGCTCGATTCCCTCGGCAACGACGGCCCCGTTTGCTCGTGTTACGTTATGGAGCAAACACAGCGATCGCGCCATGGTGTGTGTCCTTGTTGATCTGCAAAGCCTCCACCCTTGAAGACGCCCTAAACTACTTCACCACCATTCGTCACACCAACTTGACGTCATCGGCAGCCTCAAGGTGAACGTGCACTCGGACTCGATTCACGATCGTGTAACCATCGGCGCTTGATATTGCCGTACGTTGACAAGAGCGGTATTGGTCGATCAACATGCCTGGTGTTGACGACGGCATGTGCTGTGTGAGTCGATGAAGCTGTGTAGCCACTTCGTTGGTCCGTAGTCGGTATTCCAAGTGAACAGAATCAACCGAATCGATAACCATCGTGGCGTGCGAAAAGTTGGCCGTTTGGGGAGAACCAACCTTTCCTGGAGTGGCAAGGCATGCTCGTGTGATGGAGCGCGCTGGTCCAAGTGCGTGTACATCCAGGACGTCGATCGCAAGAGGATGCACCTGGAGGAACATTTTCGGATGTTTCGCTGGGTCAATTTATATCATTTCAAGTACATTGTCGCGGATGCGTGCAATTGATGAATGAGCCGCTGTTTCATGAGCCCATCTTGGTCTCCGAGCTTGCGACCGACCCGTCGATACGCTTCCAGCAGAGGATGCCCGATGGAACCATCCACGCAGAGATGGTTGTGGTTCCAAGGACCGTCGAAGGATCTGGAATTACAATCGCCCCGCGGCACGCTCTGCTTGTCGACCATCTCCGCGAAACGTGCTCAAGGCGCTGACGTCAGTAGACACCATCCGACCTCTCCACGCCAGGCAAGACTTCGGGTGGCGAGTTGCTGAAGGCTCTGCAGCACGCTCTCACTTCACAGACGAGTTGGAAAACATGCCGCATCGAGCTTCGTGTGCATATGAGCTGAGCGCGCTGCGTCCACTAGCCATCTCCCCCATTTCATCTTCCCTTGATGCTGCCCATGGCGATGGAGGCACTGTCCCCTCCAAAGTCACGAGGTTTTCGCTCAGGACCCGTCCGAACCGTCCTTGTCTGGAGAGTCCAGTACAGTTCAAAGAACGTCGCCGAGCGACACGGGCTGCATGACTCCGTTGAACATCGTCGTGCGCCGCAGCGATGCCTTTGGATAGCAGGTTCGAAATGACGCCGTAGCTATTGATTGTGATCATGTGACCGGGCCAAACAGAAGCAGGTCGAACCCCACACGTACCCGAGGGCTGGCTCCGTCGTCGGCGAGTACATGCGCGACTGCCCGAGGCCCTCACTGTGGTTCGCAAGAGCCAACTCGATGGCGCAGGTGATACTCTTTTCTAGCCACCTTGGTGCCGCGAGGCCAGAATTGGTAGCTCGAGTCAACTCGTTGCGAGAACAGCACGAGGTCGAGGTGGGGAAGCACCAGCAACATGATCTTGACCACAAAGGTGGGCATCACGGCGATGCGAAAGGCATGCATGCGTGACCACAACGTCGGACAAGCCTGCGCGCAGATAGGCCATGGACGACCGTTGTGGTGCCGCTAGAACTGAAGCCCAAGGCCAGGCCTAGCCTCTGGCGACATCTGTGTGCCATCGTAAAGGCCACGAGCTGCAAGCAAAACGTTCAGTCAGGCGCATGGAATCGAACGCATGCCGCGCCCAGCAAATACTTGATCACGATCTGGTCAAGGCGGGGTTCGTCGTGTGCTATGCGTTCTCGACAATCAGCAATACGCCCTTAAACTCCACGGACGCACTCCACCCACTGCAGTCTTCACAGTATCGTACAGACTAGGCACGAGCTCGTCGAGGCAGCACAAGTCGTTGGCCATGTGGGCGTTGAATTGGCGGTGACGATCACCTTGCTCGCTCGAAGCGAATGTGTACCATCCGTTCTCCCGCGTGACGGAGGGCTGACCCAACCAAAACCGCGTGCGACTGCTGTAGTCAGAGCGGTTGATTGCTTGGTTTCACGACCCACGACCAACGGATAGACTGCACAGCGTCGCCGATCTAGCGACGCCGCCGACACTAGGCATGACGCTATTGTCAAAGGACGGCTGGATCAAGCGCCGACGACAACTAAGTTGTGGACGTCGCGTCGGAGCCATCGTTGATGTCGAGGCTGTCGATGGTGGGGTGATGTACCTCGTCGCAGTATGGACAGATTATTCCAGCGATTAAAAGGGCGAGGACCGACCAGGCCGGGTCGTACGTGTCGCGGGTGCGCGGCAGCGTGGTCTGTGGCTCCGGTCGGGCGAAGACGGTATAGTTATCAGCCGACAGGTCAAACGGCGTGGAGAAATATTCCATGAAGGATGGACTTGTGGTGCATCGGGTTATTGTCGAAAGGGTCGTTTCCACTCCTCGGCCGTGGTGTGCCGTCCCGAGTTGGAGCAGCGTGGGTATGGACAACAGTTGCTGCTGTCGGTTTTATGCCATACTATCTCGCGGCGCAGTCGTGATTGTACAAGTGGTGCTCATAGCGGAATGCCAAGGCGAGAGGATATGGAGTTCAAACCTCGGTGAATGTTCGGGTCTCCCCTTCAACGGGGCGCGTGACGTGATGACGCATCTGGATGAAATGCATGCCAAGACCGAAGTAAGTGGTCGAGCGCGGCCCACGAGCGGGGATCGAGGATGCATCCGGGTCGGTCGCAGTGTCGTTTAATGGATGCCGAGCTTGTCCATTCTCGGTGAAAACCCGTGACAACGCATAATGTACGTATTTCTACAGGCATTCGAGTAAGCTTGATCTTTGTATATTGCGTTCTACTTGAACATATTACGACAGCAACATCGTCCAAGACGCAGCACCTGGCAACGATGGCCGGGCTCCATGAACGGACAAGCGCGATCCTGAGGCTGGACCAGCTCATGCACCACGATCAGTGGGTGCCGGACCACGAGCGGCACCGCTGCTATGCCTGCTCCAAAAATTTTGCAACGTTCACGCGGCGCAAACACCACTGCCGGACGGTACGACCTACATGCAATTGTAGCGGCGCCTTCATGAGTAGATGAATCCTGACTGCGTGCCGTACGTGACCCGTTTGGCTGATACAACATTCGGTAGTGCGGCGAAGTTGTGTGCAGTTCGTGCCTGGTAAAGAGGTCGGCCGAGATTCCTGTGAAGGGCCTCACCGACGTCAAGATCTGCCATCCATGCGCCGTTCTGCAGACAACAGACCAGGGACTACCAATTCGCACCCCTACAAGCGGTCTTGCGATACCTTCCACCCTCCGGCACACGTACACTGCCTCCGAAGACGACGGACTCTCCTCTCGCAGCCTCTTCCCCAACCTGCTGATTCGCCAACAGTCTTCAATATCCGACTGCGACGACTCACGGCGGCGGCGAGGCCGGTCTTCGGGCTGCGTGCGATCACGCAGCGAACACGAATCGTGGAACTATCCGTGGCCGCCTGCGCCAATGCCCGTGCATGAGGGAGAGCGCATTGAAGCACTTCGAAACTACCATATCTTGGACACACGCCCCGAACCAGTGTTTGACACATTCTGTGCTGCTGCTGCAACGGCGTTTGAGTGCCCGATCGCGGCCATCGGGTTCATCGACGCAGAACGACACTGGTTCAAGTCGTCTGTGGGGTTGCGTCAGCATGAGTTTCCCCGCGTCGTCACGTTTTGCGCCCACGTGCTGACCGCAACCCGCCGGTACGACGACGCTCTTGTGGTGCTCGACACTACCGTCGACCGCCGGTTCGCGCACAACCCACTAGTTTCCGGCCCCGCCGCCATCCGATTCTATGCGAGCGCGCCAATCTGGTCCACAGACGGCCATGCTCTCGGCACAGTCTTCGTTATGGACTCGACCCCGCGAGCGTACTGCGACCCGACAACTCTACAAGGAATTGCCGCCAGCGTCGGTCAAGCTCTGTTGGCGCGACTTGTGCAGAGCCAAGTCCCCTCCCCAAGGAGGCTTTTTCACGCGCTGTCCGAGCTGCCACATCAAGTCCCTTCCCATCGATGCGTCCTGCATCGTCGCCCGTCGGTTGGACTTGATACGGCGAGTTCTGAGACGGACGCAGTGTCACCTCTACCGGTTCAAGATACAGCGGACGACCATCGACCCCAGCTGCATGTTTCTACTTCATGGCGACACCCGTGGCCGCCGCCACCGCGACCGGCCGATGAAGACTCTCGGTTACAAGTGTTGTACGACCATCGGATCCTGCATTCGCATGGCCATCGGTCCGACGCATGGTTTGATGCGATCTGTGGTGCCGCTGCCGAGACGTATCATTGTCCGATGGCTGGGATTGGATTCATGGACTGGAACGAACAGTGGCTCAAGGCGACTGTCGGTCTGCTACAGGACGAAATCCCACGAAATGTTTCAATTTGCGCCCATGCGGTGACTCGGACGCCTGACACCACCCTTGTGGTGCTTGACACGCTCGGCGACCCTCGCTTTGCAAAAAATCCACTTGTCACGGGCCCCGCTGCCATCCGATTTTACGCAAGCGCGCCTATCTGCTCTGACGAAGGATACGTCCTTGGGACGGTGTTTGTCATGGACAGAACACCACGGCAGAATTGCAACGACGCCATGCTGCGTACGATGGCCGATGAGGTCACGCGCCACCTTGCCACACAACGTCCGACGCCTCCGTCTTCGTCACAAGTTGTTGAGTCGAATTCAAAACCCATCTCGGACGTATGTGAAATGCCACCATCGGCCGTGCACGACGGTGTCGTGGAAGGCGACGATGACATGGACAAAAGTATCGCCCGTGAGTCTCAGATGGAATCGATGCTGGTGGACCTACTGCGCCGCACCATGCACACCCAGCACCAGCTATCCGCCCAGCATCGCCGTGTCAGTGCCACCAGCGCCTAGATGAGTTGCTTGCGCTGCATGTCTGGCCATCTGCCATCGCCGCCGCTCCTTTGTCTATTTAACTCGGTGCATGTTGCTGCACTTTAACACGTCTCAACTGTCCATAATCATCCGCACAACCATTTTCCGGATGGTTCGCTCGGACGTTCGAGACGGCCGCGACGGTCTCAATGAAATCGAGGGAGCGCAGTGTGGGGATCGCGATGACTCAGCTGAGAGTGCGTACGGAGCTGTCGGGTGGCATCGACATGCGGGCCATAGATAGCGTTCGTGTGGTGACCAGGTTCCTTCATTTTAGTCTCCATGGGCGGAATGATGTGACAACATTCGCTACATTATTTGACGCGTTTTATATGATTTTTCCATGACAAACGTGGAGGAAAGAGCCAGAGATCCCACCACCATCTTCACAGGATGAGATCTGGCGCTGTGGTCCGCTCGGTGGCCAGGCAAAGGTGGCGACGCTACAGGGTGGTTTCTGACGAAAGCGATACGTTTTCTGAACATTTGATGGTGCTCGGTGCCCGTTACGTGTCACGAATGCAGTCGGCCCTTGGTAAAACGCGATGTCGTAACCGCGTTTTATAGGTATTTTAAAAAAATGCCCACGACCGTTCCGAGTCGAGAGGGCGGGAGATGTGACATGACCTGAGGAATCTCACCTCTGCACCGACCGCCTTGGCCAGCGTCCTCGAACTCTCATTTTGCAACATTCTGTGTTCATGGCCATCACCAAGAACTACCAGTCTGTCGCTGCTGACGAACTCAAGATCCGCGCTGAATGGGTGCCTGACAAGGCCCGGCACGTGTGCTATATCTGCCGGAAGGCCTTCAATCTTGTCCGCCGAAAGCACCATTGTCGTGTGTGCGGGGAGATTGTGTGTGGCAGCTGCACCTTCATGAAGACGTTGACTGCATCGCCTGTGGCGTCTGCGACCCATGTCAAGACGTGCTTGTGGTGCCCGCAGCGAACTCGGCATGCCAGGAATCTGTCGTCTACGTCGTCCAGCCGCTCGTTGAACCAAGCGTCACCCGCAGAAGTGGAGCTCCTGTGTCGCCGTCAAGTGGTGTTTTGGTCCTCTGCGTACCCGTCAAGGTCGGTAGCAGACAATAGCAGCAGCCGAGTGAGCAGTATGTCGCTAGCTTGCTGAATATCGGAAATACTTATATTTATCTTTCACGTCTGCTTGCGTGGGAATAGCCCGTCAGCTAGCTCCAACGTCCCAAACACACTGGCACATGGCGAAACCTCAGGTCTTTTACCTAGTGCATCCCCGAGGCATGTCGTCCATGCAGCCCAGAGTACGAGTCATCGATGCCTCACGATTCCATTGTGCGATGTGTCCAGGGGGGGTCGGGCGATGCCCATGACGACGCGACTGCCTGGAGGCACCCGAGTCGTTGCGGTAGTTATGCAGCAGTTCGCTGGACCACTTGCATTCCATGGGCTGCGCACTTTGAATGCACGGAACATGTAGCGGCGCATCGATCACGTGCGATGCACGATGAAGTGGCAAAGATCCAACGATCCTGACCAACACGCTTTGACGATGGCTAGCCGCAGCGATCGTCATTTTCGATGCGTCTCTCTATCTCTCTCTCAAACAAGAAACAGAGTCTGCATTCCATCGGCATTCGCAACGCAGCCTCTCTACGCATGTAGCTGAATCGATCCGAGCAGAGAGACGACGTTGAGGGCTGCGCAGACGAGAAAAGTCGGGTTGAAGCATGACGGACCGTGGCAGATCTCGACTCCGGACGATGGGGAGGTGGTCGCACTCATGTGGTAGATGCTCGACGCGAGAGGACCGAGGATGAGCGGAAACCCAATCGCGTTGGCAAACGTCATGTAGCCAAAGTTCTTGCCAAAATGGGGCGCGCCAAAGAGTTCACGAGTCAAGACAGAGTATGTCGGAAAGAGGCATCCTTCCGCAATGCCTGCTGCCGCCACGGACACGTACAGCGACGCGACCGACCCCCACAAAAAGCTAAGATGCGCCGCGGCCATGACGGCGAGTCCACCAGACAGAAAATGCCCACGGGAAAGGATCCCGACGTATGAGTCCGAGATCCAGCCGACAGCGACGCGGCCGCCGACGTTGCAGATCGAAAAGAGTGACACAAGCGACGGGAGCAGTGCTGGAGATCCAACGCGAGCTTGCACGATGAACGCCAGGTTCGTGTTTACAAGCAGGCCAGATCCAACGCCAATCATCGTCGGAACAAACAGGCACCAAAACCGACCGTCTGTGAGCATGGTCCAGCCGGTGATGGAGGTGACCGAGCTGTTGACGTGGTGGGTCTGCTGTTCCTTCGATGGCAGGAGGCATTGCGACTCCGGAGCGACATAGCGAGTATGGGGAGCACGTTCAAGGTCATCAGCATGGATGAAGATAGCTCCCAGCGCACACATGACCAGCGTCAACGCCGCCATGAACATGAAGTAGTCGGCGACGCGCTCGTCAAAGAACATGCGGTAAACATACGCGAAGACCGCCCCGCCAGCACTGAAGCACGAGAAGAGGAACCCCAGCACCTTGCCTCGATGCGCTGCGCCAAAATTGCCTTCATTTGCTGTGATACATGCAATTCCTGCGAACTGACTCGTGAGGCCGATCAACCCAAACGTGATAGCGAGAAGCACGACTGACGGGGAGTCCGACGTGGACAACCGCGGCGACGACTGTGCACACGCAGAGAGGTACAACAGAGGCATCAAGACTCCAGCAACAGCCGACGTAGCTCTCGCGCCGTACAAGTCGTAGAAGATCCCGGGAAGAAACGCCAGGTACAGACCGAACGAGAGCGACGAGTTGACGGTCGTGATTTGACTTTGATCAAGGGATAAAACTTCCTTGAGCTGCGAGTTCCATGCAGATATCGCATACGACGACCCAACAGTAAGCATGAGACTTGCCGACACCGCAAGGCTCAAAGTCGCCCGCCATCCTGCCTTCATCGGAGAAGTGCTCTTGGAGAGGAGCGAGCACACAGGAGGGTAGAATGTATATTTTTATTGGCTAAAATAGCTTATCCAACGAGTATGGATTGGTCCATTTAGTGATTGTTTGACATCTCAGCGTTATGATTGGTCGATGCATTCCACCACTTCAAATCTGTGATTCCAACAATGATGCATGACGAAGTGCCTGTGGAGCGCTACTTCATGGAAAAGAGCCGCCGAAAGAAGCCTGGTAATGTCAAGGTCACCGAAAACTACCTACGAACGGACGTGCATTGCGGGCTCAAGCACTGCCGTCTCTGCGAGGGGGTGTCGCCGCCACTTCTTTGTTTGGAGCCGCAAACCACCATCGTCGTTCCCGACTCATCTTTCTTGGTGTGCTACATCGACCTGTTCAACGATGTCGCGTTCCAGGCGGATCAAATCCTTTTCCTGCAGTCTGTCTTGGATCGTGCGGGCGATGTGGTTGGGACACGAGAAGCATCGCAGATCGACGCGTGGTTGTCTCGGGAAGGCGACCGTGCTCTGCTCAAGACGTTTGGGTACTTTCCCAACAAGCACATGATCGACACGTATGCCCCCACGCACGTGTTCGAGGTGGCATCGTCGAAAGACACTGCAATCGATCACACCCGCCTGGACATTGAGTCCATGGAACAGAGAGACCGGCGACTGATCGCAAACGCCATGGCGTGGTACTCGTCGCACTCCCCCGCAACGCATCTTGTCCTTCTCTCCGACGATCCCTTGCTTTCTTCGTCGATCCCTCCATCTCTTGACCACGTCGATGTGCTTTCCTGCGCCGACTTCATCGATACACACTGTTCATCCGGTGCGCGAATCGACCTCCACGCAATCCGGGCAGAATGCGCCCACGCGTTTCAACGTCGGCAAGTCTCTCCTCAAACGTTTGCCCAGCACGACTCAAACCCGTCTGCGTGCGCGTTCCAAGGCATTCTTGACGTGAGCACCCACCACCCCCTCGAAGCATTTGTAAACATCACAACGGAAGCTGCGTCCAAGATGCGGTCCATCTTCATCTATGGTCGTGATGCTATGAACCGCGCGATACACGGCGATGTGGTCGCTATCGAACTCTTGCCCGAAACGGAATGGCTTGCCCCAGAGAGCGCCACGTCACTCGTTCACCATGTTGCGTCGACCGAAGACGAGCTCAAGCGAGCCCAGAAAAAAGCCCACCCAGCCACCTCGACGTGCGTGAGTGCTGTGCCCACTGGCCGTGTCGTTGGCATCGTCTCCCGTCCCGACCACGTTGTACGTGCGCCATCCATCCGACGTGCTATAACATTCATTGCTGCCTTGCCGCGGCATCGTTTCATCTCACACTGCAGCGACCTTGTAGTACGTTGCAACGATTTTGTCATCGACTGTGGCTCCTGGAGACGACTATGCGCTGGCGGTTCCCATGGACATTCGCATTCCCAAGATTCGCTTGCGTTCTCAAAACGCGACGGCGCTCGTGGACCACCGACTCAAGGTATGACAAGCCATGCTCATATTTCTGGAGTCGATGTATTCGCCGCATGCCATCATCATGCGCTCGATGGATGTGTTGGCAGTCGGTCAATATCTCTCGCGTTGACGTTTGTTCAGGTCGTGGTGGACGCGTGGGCCGCCGACTCGACGTACCCACAAGGCCACTATGTTCAAATTCTGGGTCCCGTTGGGGACGTCGAAACCGAGATCCAAGCGCTGTTGGTTGAACATGCCGTGCATGCCCATCCATTCAGTGAACCCGCGCTCGCGTGCCTTCCCGACGTCCGAGACATCGCGGTGGATATGCTCGCGGCGTGCGACACGAGCAAACGGCCGCACATCCCGCTGACGAACGGTATTGCAACCAAATGTCAACATCGTCATGATCTCACACGCATGGAATGGACAGACTGGCAGGTTCCCCCGGAAGAAATAGCTGCCCGTCTTGATATCCGCTCGACGCACCGAGTGTTTAGCGTAGATCCTCCGGGATGCCAAGACATTGACGATGCCATGTCGATCTTACACCTGCCGAATGGCCGGCTCCAACTTGGTGTGCACATTGCCGACGTCGGGTACTTTGTTGCGCCGGACACGGCGTTGGATTTGGAGGCCCAGAACCGCGCCACGACCGTCTACTTGGTCGACCGTCGCTACGACATGCTACCTGTGCTCCTGAGTGGGGACTTGTGCTCGATTCACTGCGGTCGCGATCGTCTGGCATTCAGCGTTTTTTGGGAGATCGATCCCATGACGCTCGAGATCGTGCCCGATGCCACCACATTTAGCAAGACCATTTTGCATTCAACGGCCGCCATGACGTACTATCAAGCGGATCGGTTGATGGATGGGTTCGCTGCGGACGACCCGGCCGTGCCGAACTCGGTTGGCACTGGCACTGCTGGCCAGCCGATCCCTCAAGCACTGCAGCCATCCCTTCGACATGACTTGTTGATTCTCCGTGAGATTGGTCGCATGCTGTATCGAAAACGCGCGTCCCAAGGTGCCGTGGACCTGTCGTCCGGCGGCGAACTCAAGTTTTCAAAACTCCCCGACGACGAAAGCGGCGACGCAGGATTAACCGTCACGACCAAGGCAGCGCTCGAAATCCACTCGACGATCGCCGAGCTCATGATTCTGGCGAACGCGACTGTCGCTGAACGCCTCGTCCGTGCATTCCCCGAGTCTGCCATGTTGCGCCGCCATGTTCCGCCCACAGGCAATCGCTTCGACCAACTCGTCGCGCTCGCATCGGCCCAAGGACTTGTCCTCGACACGTCCACCAACTTGACGTTGCAGCGGTCGCTAGACACCATCCAAGTCGACGACGACACTCTAGCGTTGCTGAAGTCGATGGCGACGCGGGCCATGTCGGAAGCCGAGTACATTTGCGCCAGCGAAGCTAGCGGCACGCAGCTTCGTTTCGGCCACTATGGCCTCGGCCTCGAGTATTACACTCACTTTACGTCGCCCATTCGACGGTACGCTGATGTCGTCGTGCATCGCCAGCTCATGGCAACGCTGGACAACTACGTTCCTCGTCCTCCCAACGTGTTTACTAAAGGGTCGAGGGTGGTGCGACGACGACAGGCCCCGGCCCTGCCGTCGTCGCTCGTGCCGTCCGTGCTCACGATCGACGCCACCGAGTCGAGTGCTTCGCCGCCGTCGTTGATGCAGCGAGTCTTTGCGGATGACCAATACCTCCTGACCAACGCTTCGCCCGCCCCCCGTCGACCCGCTGCTGCATCCCCCGACCCATCGCAACTCCCGATGCTCCACACCGATCGCCTCGTTGCTTTGAGCCAACACATGAATCGCCAGAACCGCCACTCCAAACGCGTCAGCCGAGCGTGCGACGAGCTCTTTTTGGCGCTCTATTTCAGGTCTCACGTGTCGGTCGTGCAAGCCGTCGTGACAGCGATCAAGCAGAACGGACTCCTTGTGTACCTCCCGCAGTTTGACGTGCGGGCGCCCGTCTACTTGAAAGACCGCGACGGCGACGTCCACCTCCACGCATGCATGGTGCCCCGGCCGCTACGACCTCACCTCCGACCTGCCAAGTACGCGTTTGCATCGTTGGGCGACATGGCTGTGCTGCCGAATGCGTCCCTCGCGCTCTCATCGGACTGCTTGCGCATCGTCGCGCCCGACGGCCACACGGCGATCGCAACCTTTGCGCCCTTACAAGAAGTGCAAGTCCATGTATCGTGCGACTTTTCCACCGCATCCGTTCGATTACCGCAGCTCCGACTCTTGCTCGTGTCGCCTGAAATGGGCCGAGACAGCACTGGGGTCGTCCACTGGTCGGCAAAGGTGCTTCTGGACCATGAACCGTGGAACGATTCCAACACGCGTGCCAGCAACACGGGCCTCACAGAAGCCATGGGGGCGCTCGACCTGCGATCCCAACCATTTCATCGCCGACCTCCCCCCAGCCTGTACCAGCGACTGGACAAAGCCAAGGCGACAGCTGCCGTCGCTTCGATCGACCCGGGGAACGCTCCAATTGCATCAAGCCGAAGGGACAACAAAGTGGCGCGGAGTGCACTTGCCAAGAAAGACAGCAAGGCCGTCGGGCGAGTCGTGTTTGGTGGGTTCGAGCCGGTCGTAGACAAAAAGTTCAATCGGTTGATGACTGCGCACTACGAAAACCGGAGCGCCGAGCTGGAGGCAGCCATGACGATCGAGCGAAGTGCGATCAGAGAGATCGGGGACACGCGGCAGTTTGAGGCGGACGCGCTGCGCCGGTCCGACAAGCTGATGGCCGAACGACGGCACGACCGCATCAATCGGCGCAACAAGGCCAACAATTAACACGTTTTCCACATTTTTTGTCGTTGAATCAAAGGAAGTAGAATGGCTGGTGCTCGTCAGTCTCCATGAAAGGAACACGTCCAAAAAGAGTTATTAAAGCTCGGTGGTCTTGGTGACGGAGGATGCGGCATCGTCGGCGCCAAATCCATGGCCCGCGTGGTCGCCGCGGGGCGTGCCGTCTTCCCCAATCCCCTTTTGCCGCATCATGACACAAAACTCTTCAAAGCTGATTTTGCCGTCGCCGTTTGTGTCGATCTCGTCCATGACTTCCTGCGCATGCTCTTCCGACCCCATGAATCGAATCAAGTCGTCCTTGGTGATCACGCCTTGCTTCTTTGTGTCAAAGTAATTGAATGCTACGAGAACGACGTCTTTTGAGCCCCACCGATCCATCAACCACGCCTTTTACCTTGCGCGAGATATTCTTGCTTGTTGAACGTGTTGCGCTTGACGGTGGCGGCCAAAAACTCTTGGTAGTCCAAGTTGCCGTCTCCGTCAATGTCAATGCCTTGCAGCAGCGTCAACACTTCGTTTTCGAGGACATCTTGGCCCATGTCTCGCACGGCCGCCGCCAGTTCTTGCATCGTAATGACGCCGTTTCCGTCCACGTCGATCTTTTGGAATTGTTTCTAGACGGCGACGATCACGTCCGAGAAATGGCCGCATACACAAACACGTGTACCTTGAGCTCGTTGATTTCTTGGCCAGTCAGCTGGTCGGCAATCACGGCCAGCGCCACCTTCTTGAGCTTGTTGTGGCCTTGGAAACGCTTGAGGCTGCCCAAAATCGTGCCGTTGAGGCCGCGTTCGGTCGCGGGCGCCGACCCAGAGAGCCACGGGTGTTGCAGCGCCTACAACGTCCATGAGATATCTCATCCGCGGCATCTCGAGTCGCCAACCTCCGCGGCGGTCAAACGCTTGGACGGGTTGAGCAAAAGAAGGTGGTCAATCAGATCCTTGGCTTCCGCACTGACGCCGACCCATTCCGGTGTGTCGTACGAGTACTTGCCTGCACGAACCGACTGGAAGATCTCGGGGTCGCTGTCCCCGTAAAACGGGGGGTACCCGCACAACAAGATGTACGTGATGACTCCAATGCTCCACAGATCGCACGACTTGTCGTAGTGGCGGCCCAGCACTTCTGGAGCTGCAGAGCTCCGTCGTCAGTCACCCAAGAAGACAAGCATCGTTGTTCCAAGTAGAGCGACTCTTAACGTACCAATGTAGTAAGGCGTGCCGACGCGGGTCGTCATGAACGAGTCGCCGGAGCCGCCAACATCCGTTCGCGACAAACCAAAGTCGATGACCTTCAACTCGGCGGCTTCGTCCTTGGTGGCGAACAGAAAGTTCTCGGGCTTCAAGTCGCTATTACGGCGCAATGGGTTGAGAATTAGATTGCAACTTGACAACGATGTCCCATAAAAGGACAAGGCCGCCACCGATGGAAAGCTTACCGGTGGCAAATTTCGCGGTCGTGGCAATGCTTGACAGCGTCCAAGATCTTGCGCACCAACTTGGCAGCGTCGGCTTCCGTGTAATGACCTGCACCACATGGGCTATGAGCGTCACCCGTATGGATGAAATCAAGAAGTACCGCGAGCGATAATGCGGTCGAACAATTCTCCCCCCGTGCAGAGTTCCGTAACAAGATGCAAATGGCGAGTGTCTTCAAAAACTTCGAACAGTTTGATGATGTTCGGGTGGTCGACGGTCTATGGACGCGCATTGGTGAGGGCAATGACGCGATATGCAGCTCGTACGCGGAGGATTTCAATTTCACGGCGCAGAGTTTCCGGGCGGCTCACTTTCACTTTGGGAATAGTCTTGATGGCGACTTTGGTCCCTGTAATTTTATGCGTGCCGATGCGGACGGTCCCGTAGTGTCCGTGGCCCAATTCTTTCTTTTCCACGTTGTACACGGCAAACACATCGCCAATGTTACCTGTGATCTACACACACGGCATGGTAAACGACGGTGAGGGTGGCGACGTTTAAAGGGCGTACGTTGTCCTTGCTCAAAGGAGCTTGCACAGCGGGAGCTTTTGTCACAACCGGCACTGGAGGAGGGAGGGGTTTTGCCGCCGCAGGTTGCACCTGCACGATTCCACGCTCACTACCTCGGCCAGAGACGTGCGGGGGCGTGCCAGGAGGGGAACCTTGACGTGGAGGAGTGGTAGGTTGTGGGACGCCAACGGTGCGGTTGCGGCGGTGCTTTCCTTCGCCGCTCGAGGCCTTGTTGCCCATGACGAATTGACTCGACCGGTAAAATTGTGAAGTGCTTGCCGCGATCGCGAGGATAAAACATATACGTTAAACATTGTAGCCTGGGGAAATCGCCGCAGAATCTTTTCTTTAACGCACGTTTTAGTCGAAAGAACACACGTTTTAGACGTTCGATCGCGTTTCAGTTCCACAAATCAGGTCTGCAAACTACAACAATCCGCGGCATACAAACGTCAAGTTTAAAGGGCAACGTCCCTTTCTAAGGATTTTAGGGGGGGTATCCAAAAAATGGATACAGATTTTATAAATCAAACGATTCAATACAGAATCAAAGACAATAAAATAATATACGCCTCGTTCCATCGCCGATAATTGTTGCCCTCCCCCCCAATTCAAGCACACTTCAAATTCGCAGTTCACACGATGCACCGCCCGCCACGCCGCCGATTCAACTTCGACAGACTCATACGCCGATGCAACACTCATGACCCGACGTTGTACGTTCCACTCACGGTAGATGCAAGCGAAGACCTCCCGCCCGCTGTCGTCGGCCTCGTTCGAAAGGACTTCGTGGAAGTATGTACGCTAGGATGGGATTTATTGCCTTCACCATGGACACTCTCATCGCATTGATCATAGAGACTACGGCCATTTCATCATGTGTTTGACTGGTCGCGCATTCACAATGCATTGCATCTCCGATCTGAATTCTCCACAGAGCCCCAGCGCACGGCAGGCAAGATTTCAACGCACTACACCACTCGTTTACCTCATTGAACGACCTGCAGCCATGCAAGAAGTGGCGAAAGCTCTAAAGCCAGAAACGTGGCGTGGCGAAGCATATGGTGCAGTGCGCGACGATAGGCATAGCGAGCCGTGGTTCCGCATTGACCGCAGTGCCAGCACATTCTTCGGCATATCACAATTTGGATGCCATCTCAATGGATACGTGCGGGACTTGTCCCACCACAACACCACGAGTGTGTGGCTCGGCGTGCGGTCCTCGACGAAGGCCATTCATCCTGGCAAGCTTGACACGCTGGTTGGCGGCGGACTCCCATGGGACCTCTCGCCACTGGAAAACATGTTGAAGGAAGCGGAAGAAGAAGCGGGGCTCACTCTCGACGACCTTGGCCGCGCCATCCGATCGACTGGTGCGTTGACATATCGCAACGACGAGCGACAAGGATTCAAGCACAACACCATGGTACTAGTACACGACTTTACGTGAATGGCGTACCTAACTTTTGCCCAGTTTACGTTTGACGTGGAGCTGCCGCCGTCGTGGCAGCCAGTGAACACCGACGGAGAAGTCGCTGGATTTCACCTGTGGCCTATGGACGACGTGCTCGAGCTCCTGCAGTCGCAACCCGACGAGTTCAAGCCAGACGTGTGCCTTGTGTTGCTCGATTTTGCCATCCGCCAAGGCCACCTCTCGTCAGCCGACTTCGAGTCCCCGGTGGCATATGCCCGCCTGTGCTCAAGTTTGCACTCGTGGTCGTGCCACAAAATCTAGGCCCGGCTGCCGTCAGCGCTGCGCTTTCTCAACTTGAACGCACGACATTGACATTGTGTGCGTACGAAATATCGACCTCTCGATCTGTTGCTGCCGCAGGGACGTGGCCCTGCTATCAGATATTGCGCTTCTACTGCGCTGAAAGACTGCAGCGATGCGTTGTTCGCGATGACGGAGACAGTCCTTGGTGGTATCCTGCATATGATGCTACCCTCGCTTGTGGAGCACTTCATGCACGAGCTTCTGTTTGTACGCCTCCCACTTGACCTCGTCCCGATCTTGCTGGTTTGGTGGATGCGTCGGCGACGGCGGGTCCTCGGCCGCCGTGCGTTGGATGTTGGCGCGCACGCGCTGCCTCGTGTAGTACGAGGTATCGCTGAAAAAGTCAGCCTACCACATCCACGTGATGTTGTCGAATGTGTCGGCTACCGACTGGTGCACGTACCTTGCGGAGGTAAAGCAGCTCACACTCGGAATCGGTCACAAAGGTGTGCGTGGCGTGCACTCTGCGATTCGACTCATTGCTCAAGAACGACTCTTCGCCGACAAAATCCCGTGCGCCGAGGCGCTTGTGGACCGTCTCTAGACGCAGCGACGATGGGACAGCTAAGAGATGCCGCGTTAACGCTTGATTCGCATGAAAGAACGCCATCGGGCTGTCTTCGTGCTCCATGGTGGTATACGTGTGCAGCGCATTGTGCTGGTGCGATTTTTTGACGCCGGTCTTGGTCGCGAGGCACGCACCACGAGGCCGCCGCGACCCCAACATGCTCGAGTTGTGCGTGATGAGCTTGCACATGCCGCGCCGCACGACCAAAAGCCCTTCGTGCGCCTGTCCTGGCACTTGGACAACCTACGTGGCAAATTAGGCTAGGTGAAGAAGGCTCGGCGGTGTGCTCGACGCACGGTGGCCTTTGGGACGACCAAGCGCCTTGCCTACGCGTCGGACGTGAGAAGTTCGAGCACGTTTGGAATGCAGAGTGGGCTGTACTTTCAGCGTCAATAGGTGGAGCTCGGACGTCGACAGCGACCGAAACAAGCGCAGTTTGCCGAGAAATTCCATCATGTCGGACGACTACGTGTCGGCATGAGTTGGTGGGCGTCGCAAGCCCGTCGTACGTGCACCCGGCTCTCGTTCGCCTCGGTTTCAAACACGGTGGCCCACGGCACAACAATCAATTCGGAGTGGGCCTCGACGACCGCCGTGCAGGATCTACCGATCGTTCATGAGTCCCCGACGTCCCTCGAGACTTGGAGCAATACCGCGCAAGGTGACGGAATCGCCCTTGGTGGCCAAATTCAGCGCCGGCGCGAAGGGTATACATCGGAGTCTCTTCTGCGTCCACCGTTTGTTGGCGCAAGTTGTCCAAGTCCAGCAGCGCCGCCTCCGTGTGCACGTTCTCGACTGGAACGCTTTTGAGGAACGTCTCGACCGTCGGCCGCGACCCGTCGGAGGTGTCGGGTTTCACCAGATTGTGCTTGAACAGGTTGATGCGCCCGACGAGCAAAAAGTACACAAACCCTCCGTCGTCGTCTTCCTGGAAGAGCACTGTCGACGCCGTCAACCGAACGGCGCACACCTGGGCGCACAGAGCTCGGTGCACCTACGGCAACACGCCACGAAATGAATCTCCGACGGACGGCCTCGCCGTCGCAGACGGAATGTCCCCACGCTTGTCCAAATCAATCGAGCTTACGGCGGCCGACAGGTGCTTGCACAACGGATACGCTGCTGTGTAGTCCATGAGGAACTGGAGATCTGCATCGCTGCGGGTCTCGGGCGGCGCGGCGGCGATCTACGACCACAACAGAGAACCACAATCAAAGCAGCACGACAAAGCCAAACGCCGGTTGCCTTGTAGCAAATCCGAGGGTTTGTGCGATCCATGGTCGTGAGCGCTCGAATACACGAATCCCGTGGCGTGTACAGGGGCTTCGAGTCGTAGTAAAACATGCCATGGTCACTCGTCATGCTGCCATGGTATACAGGGCACGTGCGCTACATCGGGCCCGAGTCACCTCCCCTCCATGGCGGTATCAGAACGATACCGGCGGAAGAATGTCATCTTGGTTTGTCAAGGTGGTTTGGCCATCGTCATCCGCGCCAAGGGGCAAGTCCATGCTGTAGCCTTCGGGGTTCTGCCACACGCGTCAAGTTGAGTGTGCCCCTGGGAGCGTGGCGCGTACATCGCAGTAGCCCATCGTCGTGTAGTCCTTGGCGGCTTCTGCATATCGCCCCGCTTTGCGATACGCAAACGCACGATTCTTGAAAAAGATGCTGCATCCACCGTCGACGTCGATGGCACGGGTGAAGCACCCGATCGCTTTGTCAAAGTCTTCGTCGTGCTAGTCGACAGAGTCACGTCGCCGCGACAAACCCATGATCGACTTGTACCAGGTAGCAAATGCCCATGTTGAAATGTAAATACATGTTCTGGTCGTCAACTTTGCAAGCTCGTCGATAGCACGACAGGGCGTGGCGCGTCTCCCCCAACTGGTCGTACTAGGCCATGACAAGACTGGTTGGACATGGAGCGTTCCCCGGGAGCTGATACGAACCACGAGCCCGAGGTTGAAGAGGGCCTTGAAGTCGCGGGGAGCCATCTTCAGCGCGGTTTGGTATTCACTAGGCCCGCCAGAATGCAGACTTAGCACACACGCCGGACGCAGGCGCCATAGGATCGCAGAGATCGCGTGCTTACCGAATCGCTGAGCGAAAGTCGCCCTGTGTGCGGTAGTGATATCCTGGTCGTTCGTAAGTGTCTGCCATGCAAACGAGCGACGACGACGCTAGTCTTGGCCGTACGATTACCTCGGGCGCGGTAGTAATCGGCGGTTCGATTGCCGCGGGGCATGGTGCCGTGCAAGGGCCGTATTTCAACGCTCGTGCCGCACAACGGATCGGCGTCTTTGACCAAGTGCTGTTCGCGCAGCGCGGCTTCAGCAATGGCATTTGACGAGATCGTGGCGACAGTGGCGGGCAAGGACGGGATTTCAACAACTTTTGACGCAGGAACGACGACATTGCGGGCCGTGTTGGGCCGACGAGGAAGCACCTGGCGGACGGGGCACTTGGTAGTAGAAGCTGCCGAGAACGGCCGACGACAAGCTCCTTCTCGGGCTGTGGCTGGTCGTTGCTTTGCATTTGTCGTATGGTGCACACTCCAGTCCAGGTGCAGCGGAGGCGTTGTAAATGACCCCGTACTCGGAGGCCCGCGATCCTCCGCGGCCCTCATGACCCTCCGGCTACAAAAGGCAACATACAGTGTAACCGTCCATGTAACCGTCAGGGTGGAGGCATGGCGGTTACGAATGTAGTTGACATTACCGTTTGCTACAGCTTCTTGGCGGCGACTTTGATGCTTTCGTCACCCTTCTCAAACAAAAAGCGTTTGTCCTTGGGGACAACCCTCATGACATCCGCCTTTGTGTATCTGCTTGGCCCGTGCAGTCGTTGGTGGCATGGCTAGCTGTGCGTCAAGCATGGTGGAAGAAGTCCGTGCACGTCGGCAAAGGATCATGCGTTGGCAGCGACGGGTGGCCATGCCATTCTCGTGGCATGCAAGAGGTGGTCTTGCCTCTTCGAAGGCCCTGGACTCGAGGAACACATGCACAATGCGTCCTGTTAATCTAAAATAAAGCTCATGGATGTTCGCTTTGAAATGTCGTTGACGGACGGCAACGGATTCGAGGACGGGGCACTTTGTGGGGGTGGTGCAGGATTTGACGACGGCATCGCGTGACTGCCGTAGTTGCTGGTGGGGGGTGCGCTGCCGTTGGTGGGCGTGGGAGGAGGGCAGTACGTCATCTGGTGCGGCGGAGGCATGGGGGCATAACCAGGGGGCGGTTGGTGGTAGTATGGGGAGTATTGAGGCTGCGGAGGGTACGGCTGATACATGGGTGGATGCAGCTGCATGTGTTGCTGGGTCACGTATTGTGGCGGCTGTTGGTATGATACAGGCGGCAACGACGGCTGGTGTTGGATGGGCGGTGGCGGCAGATGAGCCGTCTGCTGGGGCGCCTTTCCGTACGCATTCAACGATGGAATGGAAGAGGGGTAACCTGGGGGCGGAAGCAAGCGTGACATGGATGGTTGCGACGGATTTATCGTCGAGGGTTCGCCGCTCTGGGCGCCATTCGTGGACGGCGCGGCGTTCATAACGGGCGACTGACTCGGCACTGCGTTGGGGTTGTCGTACGAGGGTTGCGGAAGTGGGGCGGAGCCGTTGGTTGGTGGATGGCTGGTAGTGGAGATCGGGGGTGGTGGGAGTTGTTGCTGAGCCTGTGGATAATGTCCGTTTCCGTTGGGCTGATGAATCGGCGGCATGTGAGGGGGTGGTTGGATGAGGTGATGTGGTTGCGAGGGGTGGCTGACCCAACTGCCACCGTTGCTTCCTGGCGGCGGCACCATTGCGCCCGGCTGTTGGTAGATGGGGTGGTGCTGAGGGCCAAGTTGGTGGTGGTGGTACATGGGCTGTTGTTGGGTGTAACCTTGCAAGGGAGCAGGGGGCAAGTTCGTTCGGGGGTCGATAGCCCCCCCTTGTTGATGTGGCGGTGGCTGCTGCTGCTGCTGCTGTGGCGCGATCTGGTACACGTACTGGTGTGGGTACTCGCTGCCGTACGGAACTTGTTGCGGGTGCACTGCGTACGACACGTACATCCCACCGGGAGGGTACTGATGAATAGGCGGGGGCGCGACCATCATTTGATAAGTTTGCGGCTGCTGATGGGTCGGCGGGGTAGTGTATGTGCCAGGATGAATGGGCTGAAAGCCGCCATGAGGAACGTTCGGCGGGTTTGCCGGAGGTTGCTGAACCTGAGTTTGCGGCAGCTGTGGTTGATGTTGGTGTTGGTGCAGAGCGCTGTCTTGCGGCTGGCTCTGTCCTGCCGCAGTCTCATGATGATACAGTAGCGGTGGCATTTGTGGTGGTGGTGGCGACGACTGCGATGCCACTGGCGCGGACAACGGTGCGGTGGGTGCCAGAGGATGCAGTGTGTTCGCGAGAGACGGAATATGCTGTTGCGAGTGATGAAGGGGTAGTTTGGAGGAGCCTGCGGGTGTTGACTGCAGTGGCTTAATGGAAGGGACAGGGCTGCCTTGCGAGTTTCGTGGAAGCGTGTGTGGCGACGCAGTGGCGGACGGCGCTGCCGCCGAGGCCAGAAGCGCCATGTTCGATTGCATCTGGTCCGACTTTACGTCCCACTCGGGTCGTTGCGCAGGGCTGCTGTTTTGTTTTGACTTGATCGCCCTCGCAGTCGTCTTTTGAATCTTTGCGGTGGGTTGAGACGCCATCGGCTCAGACATGTGCTTCGATCCGTTCGTTCGGCTGCTCGACGTACTGCTCTTGTCGACGTCCTGGCTGTTCGTCTCGACACTCTTTTCGTTGTATGGTTGGAATCGCGCCGTGTTGTTGCGGGCCTGCATCTCCTCCCGCATTGCCTTCAGTTTGGTGACAGAAATACCCATAAACACGCCAAAACCGTAGTACACTTCCTCAGCGGGAGGGCGCGTAGCGGATGCGCCGCCATCGACCGCCATGTCGTACGCTGTGCTGAGCTGTTCACGCTCCGAATTCGGCATCCCTCGCCTCGTTGTCCTGCCGCCGTCCGCAGTGTCCGAGTGGCCGGGCGATGAGGTGACGTCCGGATAAGTCTCCCGACCTGTCATCGGTGGAAGCATTGCACATACTGAAAACAAGTCTGAACATTCGAGGACCCACATGTGACGTTACCACAATCCGGATATCGCTCATTTCGTGCCAATTGCATGTTTTATTCCATATGTCTCATTCATCATACAAATTCAAGGTATTTCAGAAGTTTGGGGAGAAATTTTTTTCTGCATGTTTTGGAAGGGCCGGTTAATTTAATTGGATTCACCCTGACATATCTCCCTCTGAGCATTATAGCCAATCAAATCACGATTCTATGAGAAGGACCGTCTCTGATTGGTCCACTTGATTCGTTTACAAAGTCACGAGCCAAACCTCCAGCGCGAAGGCCACCTTCGGACCATCTGGAGAACTCTGTCCAACGGCAACGTCAATTCGCCGATCGACCAGGCTGACGCACCGCGGACGCCTCCGACACACCGACGGCCGCACCGCAGTGAGGTAGCAGTGCATGGAGTATGTGGTTCCTTTGCATTGCGTCAGGCATGATACCCACGTCGTTTGTGCCGTTGATGAAATGTGTTTAGTCAGACCCCTCCATTCGGGAAGGCGAGTTGGACGGTGCAGTTGACGTGGTTGGCAAGTTATGCTTGTGCGAGAGTACCGCCGGCTGGTACACGTGGTGCGAGCAGCGCCATGGTTTTCAACCCAATTTCTGTCCAACACATAAGCTCTCGCCATTCTAGAGTTGGCGCCTTATTCGTTTCCTTTCGGCATGGAGAGTGCACGCTATGACGAATTAAAAGATGTTGCATACTTGTCCATATTGACGCTGTTTAGTAAGAAAAGCGGTCGTAGTCGTCCTTCTTCCCAGCCGCGCATGCGAAGAACAAAAGGATGAGCGCGACCACGGCGGCGATCGTGCTGCCGATGGCGAGCTTCATCGACACCGAGTGCCACAGGTCGAGGATGGCAGGGCGGCACACTTCGTAGGGCGCGCTCTTGAACACGTTCGTCTGGGTCTTGGACAACAAAAAGTTGCCGCAAAACGTAGCCGTGGTCGGGTTCAACGGGCACTTTTCCTCGGCGAAGTCAAAGATAGATTGAAAGTCGCCGTACTTGTTCTTGACGTCCGCACACGTATCACACACTTGCTTGTACTGCGCTGGCAGCGACTTGGCGGCCGTCGCACCGACGGCACCGAGGGCAGCGACTTGCTTGTCGACCTGGTTGCAGAATCCGTTGATGCCCGTCTTCTCATCCACGTTGATCTGCAACAGCGTCGACACGGTCACAATCGTGTCGGCCAGTGCCGGAACAAAGGCCTTGAAGGCATCTCGAGCGGACGCAGACGTGCAAAGGCGAGCTCCTTGGGCATAGCAATACACTTCGTTCAATGAGGTCGCGACTTGCGTCTCTTCCGTGGCGGCGGGAAACTGGGCGGCTGTCCACTTGGACGCAGTCGACGCCGACATGAACGTAAGAACGGCGAACGCCGAGAACACGGCAAGCGCAATGAAGACAAACACGGCGTAGATGGAGAGGAGAACCTTGTTGCGGCACAGGGCACCAAAGATACCGAGGGACGCGATACCGACGACGACGCTGCCAAAGATGAGCGTGTACAGCCCGAGCGAGTTAAGCGGCGTCGCCGTGGCCGCCGAGAACACATCCGACCATTGGTTGCCTTTGAAGGACACGCCAATGTAGATGAGGAGCGCGCCGGCGGCGATGAAGACAACGTTCAGCGCGACCAAGACTATCTTGGACAGGGTCGTAGGGATCGCCATGGTGCCGAGTCGGGCCTACAATGAGCAACTGAATGCATTGGTGCCATTACTGCGTGCCGGCACATGGCAAGTTTTCTCAAATTTCGTGGTAATTGCTGAATTTCAACGTCGTTTACTTGAAGTTTGTATGTCGTCTCGTCAAAACCAGGCCTCTACAATATTATACCAGACCTGATATTTCAATGGAAATATGCACTTTTTCGTTTTATATATTATACGTTTTATTGTGCCGTTGTCAATACAAATTGGTTGAGCCCTCATTCAGTCATACATATATCCATAGAATACAATATTTTTGAAGTTGGAGTCACTGCAAAATCTATGGACAGTGCGCATGTTTCCCATTCAATTTTTCGTTGCAACACAGAAACGAATACAGTGATCCCCCAAGTTTTGCAACACTTCAAGAATATACGTTTCTGAAGGCAATTAAAGAAACAAAGAACAAACAAGAATTCATTTTAAGAGACCATTGGATGCAGTTATTGATTAAGTTGAGCAAGGTATTAATTTATACCAGTTCGCAAACCTTGGGGGACTACTGTAAATGGGAAAAACGAGAACATGACTCAAAACAACATCTTGAAGTGAGGTAAAGATGGTGAGAAAAGCGCTGATTGATGACAGGTGATGTCAAGACGAGAGAAGAGGCCCGTCGTCGTTGTCGACGGCTCATGCGTTGGACGTGGTGGAGGGTATGAAGGGGACTGCAGCGTCCACTGCGTGGACCGACGGCCTGTGCTTGTGAAAGCGCGAGCGATTTTTGTCCATGCCTCGCCGTTCCAGTCGTGGCTGCGACCGCTCCTCTCGGCGACGCGACAGTTTGTTCAACCAATACTGACTTCATCAACACGAAATTGTCCGATCATTATTTACAAAGCTCCTCGACATGCATCCCTGCGGTAATGCTAGACAGCGGCGACGTATACCTCTTTGATCTTCCTTGCCCGTATCCTTGACACCACTGGCCGCGGACTCGATCGTGACGTGACGAAAAGATACACCAGCGCACTCAAGGCCAGCGCTGTGCTGCCACCCGCCACATTGTTGGCGTAGCGGATCCACTCGACAAACAGAGTCGGCCTGCACCGTTGGTACGGCGCGTCCACCTTCACCGTGACGTTTGTGGTGTTGCCAATGAGGTGGCCAAGGCAGAACGCGTCCGTGTCGGAAGCCATGGGGCAATGCGTGTGCACCCAGTCGAAGGAAGCTGCAGTCGCGGGGTGTACGGAAGGAATCGCCGAGCATATGGACACTGAGGTATTCGTGGACTGGATGAGCGCCGCCAGCGAGGGGTCAGTGGATGCGGCGCAGACCCGTGTGGGGCAATGCGCTTGATGGAATGTACTGGCAACGTTAGCTTCCTCGATGTCAAAGGGAAACGCCGCCGAGGACCAATTCTTTGCTGCAAGTGACGATCGGAAACCCATGGCTGCCAGAACACACGCAAACACGACAAACATGCAGACAAACGTCATGGCCCAGTTATTCGTGGTAGGAAGGTGCCGACGAAGGCACGCCACGAGTACACCCGTGCATGTGGTCACGATCGCGTACGCGAGAAACGAATCGGACGACGACGCAGTCGCAACATCAAAAATGTCTGTCCACTTGGTTCGACTCAACGTGCCGCCGATGGCCACGGCCGCGTACATGAGGAAGGCGGTCGCCCCCACGTAGAGCAGCCCCACGACGGCAAGGCCAACCTGCTTCGCCTCTGCCATCCGCATCGAACCAATTCCAAAATGCCACCAAGTAGTCGAGACGCACCAGAACTTGGGGATGCTCAAGGAGTCCCGAGCTCGTCATCGGCCAGAGGACACGGCTTAGCTCATCACAATGGTCCGGAAGACGTGATCATGGTCCATCATTGCCTACTCGATCCATTTGTCAAGATTCAAGTCACGACGCCATGGAAACGATCCAGATGAATCTCTAGATTCCACGACGAAACATCTCAATTATACAATGTCACGACCAGTCGCTCCAGGAGATCATCCCGAACGCGGTTGTACTGCTATCGTCGCTGCGCCCAGCCTGCTGGGTTGGCTTGAGTTGCTGGATCTCAACGAGGACGCCGCGGGGGCTTGGACAGTCGTTGCGAAAGGCGCGACTCATGAGGAACAGTGCCCACCGACGCCGGGGAGAGTCCACCCGTCGTAGCCATAGCGTCACGGAGATCGCTGCGTGCGCCGCCAATGCAAGGACGTTGTCGTCCTCGTGGCAAACGACCCGCTTCGTCTCATGTTCATCATCATCACGATACCGTCGATCGTGCAATTTTGCGACACGCGATGTGCATGGCGTCGTTGGCGCGTCCATTCGTGCAGTACACTTCCAGTATACTCGCGCTGGTGGCCACCGACGTCATGCTTGATCGAACCGCACCTAGCTCCTTCAGCTTGTTGGACATGCGCTGGAGATCTCGTCCACTGGATGCAGACACTGGCAACACGAGCGCTTTGAAGTACCATCTCCAGCAGCACAGTGTGCATGACGCTGTTTCTAGAGATGCATTGTGCGGCGTGAAAACTACATCTCCCGCCTGCCAGGGCAATGGTGTAATGAGCTCGTTAGTTCCGAAGAAGTCGCAGGCACGAGGACTCGTGTGATTAGGCCTATGCCACATAATAGTCGTCGGTGGTTTGCCGTCCAAGTCGGCATGCCAGGATCACGAGGACGAGCGACACGACGGCCAAGAGGACGCCACCGATGGCAACCTGGTTTGCAAACGACCGCCAGACGTCGATCACGACAGGGCGGCATTGCTTGTATGGCGAGCTTTCATATGCTCCCGTGGACGTCGTGGCCAAGAGGAAGGAGCCGCACCAGATCGCTGTCGAGGGGGTCATGGCGCATTTCTCGTTGGCCCATTCGAAAATGGCTCTGTCGTCGCCGAATTTCGTGTTCACGGCAGTGCACACATCACATGCGCTTTTGTATTCTTTTGGGAGCTTGGCTGTGAACGCTGCGCCAAGCGACCCAAGCGCCACGGCCTTGGCATCGATATTCTTACAAAATCCGACGACCCCCGTCGGTTCGGTGACGTTGATGCCGACCTCGGACGCGACCGCGGTGATCGTCGGCGCTGCTGCCGGCACAAACGACGTGAACGCTTCCTTCGCTGTCGCGGATGTGCAGAAGCGAGCGCCCTGGGCGCTGCAGTAGACCTCGTTGAACCCTGTCGCAATGTCGGCTTCTTGCGCGATGGCCGGATAGGACGTGGCTGCCCAATTCTTGGCTCCACTAGCGGCCACGAACCCAAGGACAGCGACGCCGATGAAAATCAGCATGGCCATCCCGACAAAGATCGAGTAGAGTGTGAGAAGGCACCGATTTGCACAAATTGCACCGGCACAACCGAGACACGCAACGAGCACGACAACAGCGCCGAGAACGAGCAGGACAAGTGACTCCGACGCACCGTCCGACGTGATGTTCTTGGCCGCAAATACGTCCGACCAGCGGCCGCCGCGTAGGACAACGCCCAAATAGATCAGGAGCGACCCGCCGATGAAGAACCCGAGGTTGAGGAAGATGACGACCGCTTTCGCCAGGGTTTGCATCATCGGGTACGAAACGACAACTGACAAAGTACGCCAGTGCTTCGATTCGAACGAAAGGCACGGATCGAGGACGACGCCAAGGGAAACATGCCGATTCGACGGCACGTCGGCACCCTGCACGTCATCTGCAGTGATTTAGTGCGTTGGGGATGCCGTTCAGAGACGTCACGACGTCACCTCGACCGGTCCCTTCAGGTCCTGTCGACCCCTGCGCCTCCCAGTCTTTCTCTATGACCTGGTCGTCGATTCAGTCGCAGCGAGAGGAACGGACCTTGTCGGCGTATGGAATCATAGTGAAGGACGAGGAACAGGGAGACTCCTTGCAGCTCGCGCTAGGGGCGGTAGAATCCACGAAAGGAATGACCTAGGAGGGGTGTTCATCACGTGGACTGGCATCTCGTCAGCCATGGTGTGCGACGAACAGAATGCAAGATGGAATGTTGTAAAACTTGGATTATGCGGCGGTGTACCCGTCTGATTCGTTGTTGCGTGCAGCTTTGCATGAAAGCACGATTAAGAGCAGGGACAAAACGGAGAGCACGATGCCGCCGATGCCGACGCGGGTGCTGTAGTCTTTCCACAGTCCCAAGACGGGGGCGCGGCACTGCTTGTACGGGGCTTTCTCGTACACGGACGATTGGTTCTTTGTGATGAGGAACGCGCCGCACCACTGCGCCGTTTCTGTCGTCAACGGGCATTTGCCGTCCACCCAGTCGAAAACGGCGCTGTAGTCGCCGTAGTTGGCCTTGACGTCTTGGCATGTCGCACAAGCATCCTTGTACTCGTTGGGCAGCGCACTTTTCACAATCTCGGCAGCAGTTGCCGGCAATGAGGCAAGCTTGGCGCTCACTTGGTCGCACACACCAAGGAGGCCTGTGTTGGCATTTACATCAATGCCGGCTGCGGAAAGAGCAGTCACCGTGGCATCGCTGCCCGTCGGAAAGAATGTATTGATGGCGTCTTTGGCAGGCATCGTGACGCAGAAGCGCCCGCCTTCAGCGTAGCAGTACACTTGGTTAAATCCCTTGGCAACGTCTGTCTCGGCGGGATCAGCAGGGAACGACTTCGCGATCCACGTGTTGGCTTGCGACGACGAAAGGAACCCCAGCACCGTGATGGCCACGAATATGATCAACCCCAACACGACAAAGATTGAGTAGAGTGTGAGGAGGCATCGATTGCGGCACGCGGCGCCAGCAAACCCAAAGAACGCAATCACGATGACAGACGCCCCAAGAGCAATGATGGCCGTGGCGACCGTATTCACGTCCGTGGCGGTGCCAGTGGAGAAGATGTCGGTCCAGTGGCCATTGCGCGACTTGGTTCCGAGCCAGATCAAGAGGGACCCGGCAACGATGAACCCAATGTTGATGAGGATAAGCATCACCTTGGCAAACATGTGCATGGTGGTGGCTCGCTGCAAATGTGAAAATGAGGTGGCACCGCGCCATTGAAGCGGCGTTGGAGATGTACCAACATTCTCAAGTCAACAAACCACAACTTCCAAGCGCGGGATCCATATAAGGAGGAGCCACCGAGGGGACAACAACACAACCTTGGCGTAACTTCGCCAACACCACCAGCGAACGCATCGTCCACGTGTTCACAGCAAGGTATGGATGCACCGCCGCCTTCGCCGCTTGAGGCGCCTTCGGAACGTCCTGCCGACAGACCACCCTCCGCGCCATGTCGCACATATTGCAACATTTCCAGTTTATTTGCAATTTTTTTGATGGACACGGCAACCTCCAGCACGAAATATGATTGGCTGGAGGGCGATTCAGCTGTCTTTTTACCCAATCAAATGGACGAAAGCTTGTTCCAGGTGCACACTTCGCGAAATCTCACCCGATCCCCTGCTGGCACACCCACGAACTCGGCGTCCGTCCAGCATTCAAAGCACAAGTCCCTTCAAGTAGCGTTGTCGAGACGTGGGCCAATTCTTTGTCCGCGTAGCTGAATCTGTCGACAGATTGTTCAAATCCCAAGCGCTCGCACATTCTTGGTTTTCCAAGCGGCCTGCGCAATTGCCATCGAGTCACACACGCGTCCCCAACCGCACAATTCAGTCGTTGCAGATGAACTCGCCTGCAAAACGAATTCTTTGAAAACGCATATATCCTCTACAAATGAACGACCCGTACATTGATGATAAACACATTTTAGAGGCACGGGTGGCGCATTGGAAAGACAACAAAGGAGGGCAGCGTCCGCCTGTAGAGACGGACTTAACCAGTGTGCGACAAAGACTCAGCTGTACGCAGCAGCCTGAATATTTGAAAGAGGCACAACTACCTCGCCTGCTGGCCCGAGCGATGGAGGTTGTGATAGAGCAGCGGCACGAATGGCCGTGTCGCATCTGCCTGCCGAGATGGCCCGTAGTCATGCAATCGACAATTGTGTTGCCACGCCATCAGCGTTTGGATTCGCTACGTCTCGTCCGCTTTCGCAAACGAATATCGCCTTCGGACAGCTGGACTTGTCATCGATGCCACTGGCAGCAACATACACATGCGTGGCAATTGCCGCGGCCTTCGAAGCTGTAGCATCCTCCATTCGGCTTGCGCGTTTAGTGAGTCGCAGAGCGCTATCGAGACATCTATCGTCGAGATTGGAGACCTCTGCATATATGTCCCGTCAATCAGTCGTCGAGTTTGCCCCCGCGACGACGGAAACCTGCCTGGCAACGACCGGTGCGAACGCAAAGGCTATGAAAAAGTAGCGACCAGCTGTAGAGTGGCAGTGAAGCTGGCCTAGCCGCCAGGCGAGGTCGATTGGGACGACCGCCGCCGACGTCCATGTCACGAATCTAGACGATACCGAGTGCGTCACATCCGCCAAGACTTTGGGCGTTGTGTCAACGCAACTTTCTCGCCAAACATCGCTAGAAACGCGGCGGGCAGGGAAAGCCCAAAGTGCATGCGGTGCGCGTGCTCCAGTGCCACGAAAGTTCGAGAACATGGTGACATGGTCACGAGAATGGGGTGAGTTTGGACCTCAAACGCGGCTGTAGCTTGAGCGACGTGACAATACGCTGCGAAACGACGCAGGGGTGGTGGACGACCAGTAGTACGCCGTGACCACGTCAACCAGCGGTACGATGCCAAACCGGACGGCGCGCCGCACTGGACGATTCAATCGTCGAGCTCTGCGATGGAGTCTGTGGGGTGCGCGAATGTGTCGCGAGTGCAGATTGCTTGGGATGCGCTGGAGTTGGCCGACACCACTGTCCTCCATAACGTTGGAGCGCCGTGATCGAAGCGAAGGAGAAAGTGCAACGTGTGGAATTGTCATCTCGGAGGCAAAGCCATGCACATTGTTTCGGCGAAAAACGTATTTCAACAATCGAAGTGCCATAAAACTCGAGATGCAAATGCTTCGGACGATTTCCCTTCAGTCGCATGCGAACGACGAATGCACTCAAGGCAGTGCGAAACTTGTACGCGTCCTTTTCTCTACTCGTCGTCACCGTCCCTCGACTCTGGATCTACTGGATGGGTGCCCTCCCTCCGACACTGAAGGATTCGTCGTGCGCCCGGGGGTAATACGTCGGCTTGAATATCTTGAACGACGATGCTGTCCAGCACAAAATGCTGGAGCATCATGTGCGCGGCCCACTTGGCTTCCTTGGATGGACTTTCGGGAATCGTTTTTGCCAAAAACTCAACCGCCCGCTTTGTCAACCCCGGAGTCCACATCGCCCACGTCGCCCATCGGCTTTCCATCATCAACGCCACAACGACAAAAAGTTTCTCCGACTCGATTTTGCACGCCATCGGATCCAGCGTCGACACAAGGAAGAGTCGGGTGGCGGCAGCAGCTTGGCCGCGATACTCTGCAAGGTTCCCGTTCATGTGACCCAGCAATGCCCAAAGCCCCAACGCGACAGGCCCAAACGCATAGCGCGGAGCGTGCTTCAGAGCGACGTCAAACTCTTCCAGCAAGGCGTCTACAACTTGGGGCTCCAGAGTTAACGAGGCGGGCCATACCGAGGCGAATGGTCCGACCTCGGACGAGGCTTCAGTTCGCTTGGTTTGGATGAAATGTACGTCGCCAGTGGCGCACTGCGTGCGCCAAAACACAGCGCTGGTGGTTAGGCGATGGAGCGTCACTGCGTGCCGACTTGTCACGGTGCCGAGAATAGCTTCGAATTCCCGACTGTGTCGGAACACATGATTGAACTCGTGCACGGAAATATACTGCAGCCCCATCCAGTGCTGCAGCATGGACTGGAACAGCTCAGGGTACATGGACGCGAGCAGTTTGATGCGATGCACAACGTGCCGATCGATTTTCCACGCAGCTGGGGCCGACGATGGCGGCCACCGCAGCATGAATTCTACGGAGCACGCAAGGCCCTTCGCTGCATGGCTCCCAACATTCATCGCCAAGTGATCGAGGTACACCAACACGTCCGACGACGTTCCATCAGCTTGCTCGTACTGAAATGCATCAGCTAGTGTCGCTTGGAAGGCATGTATCCGCTTGGCAACATGACGGCGCCGTGTGGTCGGCAACGCCTGGACGCATGCATCCACAAGAGTTTGCACCTGCGATGCATCGAGAGGCATAGACGCCACGCCTGTCAAGTTGAGTATGTGAAGCACCCAATTTCGCAACTCGGACGTGTTCGCGTGCGGGTGTTCAAAGACCAGCAGCGATGCCCACAAGTCGATCGCCAAGGCTGGATACCGTTGTGCAAACGCACTTGCAGCGTCTGTTAGATTGTCGAGGACGGGAACGAACGGCACATACTTCAGCAAGGCTTCCTTCATGGCACGACTGTGGTCTTCCTTGGCATGCAAGAGATCATTCCATGGTGCAGGGTCCGCGCAGCATGTCAGTTTGATCACCGCTTTCTCGATATCACACATATGATGAAATGTTGTTCCGAACAATGTTCGGCTTTTCACTGGATAAAACAAAATACGAATAGCGAATCCAAGGCTTGAAACACGGAGTTTCTTCAAATTTCAGCGAACCAAATGCAAGAACCTTGAAAGGCATGGATTGGCTGGATAAGATATAGTTCTGGCCAATCACATGAATAATCCCGAATGGTTGGAGGAAATATTGAGCATTTGCGCTCTGAACGTTCAACATCATGGCGAAGAAGCAGAAGCGCGGCCCGACGGCGGCAAGGACGACAAACACAACGATGCTGGCGAAAAACAAGTTCGACAAAGGATGGAAGCGAGTAGATCTAAGTGACAACATGCTGGAAGGCTTTGACGACGGAAACGCGTTCGAACTCGAAGAGCTCACAGGTGAATTGACACATCCATCTCACGAAGTACTTGTCACCGCTGATTGCTGCCATAGACTACACATTGGAGGACGATGGGTTTGGGGGCAAAGTACTCATGTAAGCGCTCATGTTGATACAGTCGGTGGATGTACACGAGCTGACGTCGAACGACTTGCAGTGCTGGCGGAAACACCTCGAATGCAACTGCAGCCAAAAAGAAGACGAAGGCAAAGTCCAAGGAAAATGCAACCGAAAAAGCTGCTGGCAAGAATTCTATCAAAGGGTCGACAATCAAAGGTGACAAGCAGGCAGCACGAACCGCAACTGAATTCAGCAATGACGACGACGATGTCATTCAAAAAAATCCTGTTCCCGTCGTCTCCACATCACCATCCACCAGTGCTGATGGTGAGAGTGGAAAGAAAAAGAAGCGAAAGCGATCAAAAAAGGCAAATAAAGAGCCTGACTCGACAGAGCAGCATAACACCGCAGGTGAAGTTGGCGACAATGACCAAGACTGTGACCTTCCACCCGACGACGTGGCAGATCACTCAGCGATAATCGCGGCCGCAGCTGAAGAAGCCTTGCCTGTCTTGCCCGGTTGGGCCAAGTTCAAGCTCCACCCCACGTTGAATGCTTCGTTGACGCGGCTGGCTTTCGCTGCCCCCACCACAATTCAAGCACTGACTCTCATACCGGCCATGATCGAGCAGCGCGATGTAGTCGGCGCTGCCCCAACCGGGTCCGGTAAGACGCTAGCGTTTGGTCTGCCCGTGCTGCAGTACTTGCTACGGTCGAACGAGCCGCGTGCCAAGTGCCGTGCCTTGATATTGACGCCGACACGCGAACTAGCAATCCAGATCGTGGCCCACTTGCAAGCTATGATTCCAGACAAACGCCGCGTCGGGATTGTGTCACTTGTCGGTGGCATGGCTATCCAGAAACAGCAGCGCCAGCTTTCGTACCGCCCGGAAATTGTCGTTGCGACCCCCGGACGCTTGTGGGAAGTGATGGAATCGGGAGAGACTCCCCACTTTGACACGTTGCAAGACGACTTGCGCTTTTTGATCGTCGACGAAGCCGATCGTATGCTGCAGCAAGGCAGCTTTCCGCAACTCGAGTCGATCTTTGAGCGCGTGAACAAGGGCAAAGTTCTGTTTGCGCCAAAAGAAGAAAGCAGCGACGATGACGAGAATAACGAGGACGATGAAGGCAAAACCGCTGGTGATGACGGCATCGTCATGTTGGACGACGTGCTCAAGCAGCACGCCGAGAGCGAAGCTACGGTCCCAGTTGTTGTTGCCGCGACGCCAAAGAAGACATTTTTGCGGCAAACGTTTTTGTTTTCGGCAACGATGACGTTGAAAAATGCTGGTACGAACCTGCAGCTTGCGTTGTGCGTTCTCACGTGGACCGATCTATGGCTTGCAGGGCGGTACCAAACAAAGAAGACGAAGAACCCGAACGCCCTCACCATGCTCGAAAGCATCATGAAGCGCATTGGTCTCCGCGGCAAGCCCGCGGTTGTCGACCTAAGTGCGAAGGAGACCTCGTCCAACGACGAAGCGACTGCCACCACGCCGAGCAGAGGCGCCGAAGTCACGTTGCCGGAAGGGTTGGAGCTGGCCCAAGTCGAGTGCTTGGACGAGCATCGAAACAACGTGCTGTACTACTTTTTGACCCAAGTACGTTTCCATCGATCCAAATTTATGTGCTGGTTGTGTGAGCTCATGATTCGGTGGTACCCCAACAGTACACGGGTCGCACGATCGTGTTTTTGAATGCCATTTCGGGGGTCCGGAAGCTCGCCGGCGTGCTGCAGCTGCTCAAGTTGCCCGTGTTTGCACTGCACGCAGAAATGCAGCAAAAGCAGCGTCTGAAGAAGCTGGACCAGTTTCGCGCGAACGAAAAAGGCATCTTGATTGCGACCGACGTCGCCGCGCGCGGGCTCGACATCCCGTCCGTCGACTATGTCGTGCACTATCACATTCCCCGGTCCGCGGAAACATTTGTTCATCGCAGCGGGCGCACGGCCCGTGCGTCCAACCACGGGTTGAGTATCTCGTTCGTGGCCCCGATTGACGCGGTTCGTGTGTACATTCTCTCGAACGAGTGGTATATGGCTGAGTCATGCCTGCCTCGTAGAAATACCATGCCCAGATCTGCAACGTTCTCCACCGTCCGTCGGGCTTTTCGATGTTTCCAGTCGACCACAAGTACGAAAGATGGAGCGGCTGGAGTGCTGCTGGTGTTTGACCAACTCGTGGTAGATTCCTTCCTCTCATCAAAGAACGCGTCAAGCTGGCCGAGTCGATCTTTGCGACCGAGAACAGCGAGAACAAGGTCAAGAGCGAGGCGACGTGGTTCCAGCAAATGGCCGAGGCGGCGGATCTCCCGTTCGACGACGACATGCTTGATGTAGCGCCCAAGAAGGACACGTCGAAAGTCACCAGCCAGCGCGCCGAGCTGCACCACCTCCTCATGGAACCCCTCCGCCCGATCGGGTCCAAGCGCAAGTTCTTCCGTCTCCACGAAGACATCAAGAGCAACAGGATCTCGGCCGATGGAGAGTACAGTGTCCGTGACGCCAACCTCGATCTCATGCAAAAGTCCAAGAAACATTCGCTCAAGCGCTTCCGAAAGCGATAATTTAACACGATCATTTTGTCGAGTCGTGCATTGCATGCGTCCTTTCATGTTCGTGGCCACATCACCAAGTACTCACGGAGGTGGCTACCAACCACACATCCCAAGTTGCTCAAATACACACCTCTCTTCCGACGAGGCCAACAAATGGGCAAATCCTCACCTTCCCAAAGCACCCACTACCTTGGCATGGTTCTGACCATAATCCTACGACCGCGCGGGCTGTACTTGTTGTGGGGAAGCATCGGGTGGGTGCGCGCCGTGGTCGTGGCTCGGCATGTCCCAAAGCAGTCGAGGGCCGCAAATATCCATCCGAGCTTCCCGCAACTTGAACCTGCTCAACATGACCAATCAGGTTTGAATATTTCAACAGGCAACCAATCACAAACCAGGAAATTCGCCGTCGAAATCCGTCATTTTCGAATTCCCGAGTTGGACGACAGGTGGCGGTGGATGAGCGCTCGGTCCAGCACCGCCGACGAGGACACGCGGCTCCCGATCCTAGAAAAGTACACACAAGAGAGCAATGCGGTTGCTGCAAAGCACGCGACGTGGACCAAGTCCTTCATTATGGGCGGCCTAGTCCTTTTCATTACCGGCACTGCCGTGGTCTTTGGCATGACGGGTGCGTCATCAAACGACAAGGCGTTGTTTAAAAGGGACTACAATGTCGATTTGCGCAAGAATTGCACGGAAGCGTACTTGACCCAACCGTTGAATCAGTTTGGCGCCACTGGCAACACATACGAGGAGCGATACTTTGTATGCGATGCTGAGTGGAAGCAAGGCGGCCCGATCTTCTTCTACACGGGCAATGAAGCAAACGTCGAGCTGTACTTGAACCATACAGGACTCATGTGGGAGAACGCTGCCGAGTTTGGCGCGATGCTCGTGTTTGCCGAACACCGATACTTTGGTCTGTCGATCCCAGACGATGCCCTCAACCGCATGGAGTACTTGTCGTCGGAGCAAGCGCTTGCCGACTACGCCGTGCTCATTCGGGAGCTCAAGGACGTGTACAATGCGACGTCAAGCGCCGTGATTGCGTTTGGCGGGTCGTACGGCGGCATGTTGGCCACTTGGTTTCGTCAGAAGTACCCACACGTCGTGGACGGCACGATTGCTGGGTCTGCACCGGTCTTGGCGTTCGATGGCCAAACTCCCGCCGCTGACATGAGCTCGTTCATGCGGATTGTCACGTTCGATGCGACGCCGGCCGCCGGTGCTGAAGCCAACTGTGTGCCCAACATAAAGAGCGTCTGGGGCAAGATTGAAGCGGCAGCGAAAACTCCGAGTGGCCGCGACACGCTCGCGACGGCGTTTGGATTTTGCAAGTCATTTGACACCGAGGCCGACGCATTGGGGCTCTTCGACTGGATTCAAGGCGCATTTGCGTCCATGGCGATGGGAAATTACCCGTATCCGTCGTCGTATCTCATGAACGGCGTCAGCATCATGCCCGCTTACCCCGTCCGCGTCGCATGCTCACATTTGAAGGATCTGCTCATCGACGACGACGTGGCACTTTTTCGTGCTGTCCGCAACAGCGTCGGCGTGTATTACAACACGACATTCGACAAACCATGCTACTCGTTCGGGCAGCCGTCGAACGAATCCCAGCACGACACCGACTTTTGGGACTACCTGTCGTGCTCAGAGATGTACATGCCCATGGACCAAGACGGCGTCGACGATTTCTACACGCCAAGCTTTCACAACGTGTCGGCCACGAACGAGAGCTGCTTCGCCAAATGGAACGTTCCCCTTCGCCCGACGTGGGCAAACACCGTGTACGGCGGCCGCCAAGGCCTCGAAGCCACGTCGAACATTGTGTTTACGAACGGCAACTACGACCCGTGGTCCGGCACGGGCGTCCTCACGTCTGTGTCGGACTCGGTCGTCGCCCTCCGAGTTGACGGAGGAGCCCACCATTTGGACTTCATGTTTAGCCATCCGTTGGACATGCAGTCTGTCAAGGACGTCCGCATCGAGCAGAAGAAGCACATGCGCAAGTGGATCGCGGCCAAGATGACCAAGACTGCACGAGTCGCTTCGCGTGGCAATCGAAGCCGTTGAAACTCTTTCGCGCACTGCATTGGATGTGGTGTCTTGCGTATCAGATCTGGGGTAGCTCGATGGCGCCGCGACTGTCGTCGACATGACGGAAGTGACGAAGTCAATGTCGAGCCCAGAGATCTGCAGCCTTACAAGCACGTAGTACCAGTAGATGCAGACCAAGGCGCATTACTGGGGTGGCGTCGTGCGAGAGATTGTTCCGAGCGGCACACGATGGCCCCCAGTTGATGAAAGGACGACAGCCACTGCGTTGGGGAGCTGCATGTCGTTCGAGAACACGCCATGGTCAGAGCGCACGTGGATGGATTCGTGGCAGGTTCTATTGCTCCGTTGGCAGCAAAGCAGTTAGAGGCGTGACGAGGATCTCGCAGTTCGACAGCTTTCGGGACGCTTTGGTCATCCGTTTGATGAAGCTGCTATGGCCAACGACTGCAATGTTGGAGTACGGCAGAGCGTGGAGTTCGGTGAGGAAAGCAACAATGCGGGCGTCGAGGTCGGCAGTCGATTCGCGGAGTTGGGCTACTTCTGCTGGCGACTGAGGGATGACCTTGGTGGCGTCGGAGGGACTAGTGAGCCACCAAAAGTCCGGCAAGGAGGACGTATCGATGCCAAGCGAGCCGAATTCTTGAGCCAACTCTTTGCCATGGACATGTAATGAGTGTCGTCAATGGATGGGATGCAACCGACCATGAGGCTGTCGCCCGATGTCGCACGCGGTGTCGAGCATTTCGCGGCACAGCGGGCTGACTACTCAAGCATCACACCAGTGGGCTATCGTGGACAGAGAAACTCCTACGTACTTTGGATGGGAATGTTGCACCCGTCAAACCCTCCGAGGGTGGTTTCGACGGCACGTGTGAGGGGACTGGTGATGATCTATGGAACATGCCGCCTGAGTCGAGTTCACAGGGCGTCGTGCGAACGGCACGTACCACATCCACAACTTCATGAAGCCCCATATCATGAATAGTCTGCTTCAACACGGCAACCTGTGGAGATCGTGACACGTTGGCGCTTGCGCCATGCGACTGGTACCTGTTGCCTGCCCTTTGCGCTTAATCTGGCATCAATGATCATCGGGTCCTTCACGAAGATCCATGAAAAGGTAAGAATACTTCGCACACGCCATTGATTGAAGGTGGATTCGCCATGCCGAATGAAGTAGATCGTCTTCTCTGCTGGCGGCGGCGCGGCGATCATGATGATGTTCAAATTCGCCACCTTATCCGGATAAATCGTCGAATCGTCCGAAAAACTCATGTGGTGGGATTTGTGATCATGGACCCTGACATCGAGCCGGCGACGAGGCTGGCGGACGAGACCGCCACCGCGGAAGTTGCAAAGTCCAATCCCGCCCCAGGAGAGTGGACTCGTGAGCTATGTCCTGGCTGTAACAAGAGCTGCAAGTACTACTGCGCTGTGTGTTATCTCCCAATTGGGGCGCCGTTGACCGTGGACGTTCCGCGCATTCGTCTGCCACTTCAAGTAGACATTTTGTTCCAGGACAAGCAAAAGAAAAGCACTGCTCCTCATGGGAAGGTTGTGGCTCCTGACGACATCGCGATCATTCCGTACCCGTTTCCTGAGGAGAGCCGGCCTCAGTACGACGCCAAGGAAGCAGTCGTCGTGTACCCGTCGATCGATGCGTACGTGATCGACGAGCTCGAAGACCTCGACAGTTTGAAAACACTCATTTTCATCGACACCCCGTGGCAAAAGGCGCCCACCGTTCTGAATGATCCAGCGCTGTCCCATCTGCGATGCGTGAAGCTCGCCCGGCCGCCGCTCGAGTCCAAGTACTGGCGCTACCATTCGAGCGGAAAAGGTTGCATCTCGACCATTGAAGGTATGTACTTCCACTTCCGTCCCGTTTCGCATTATATTTGACACATGGCGGTTCCTCTAGCCGTACACTTGTTGCTTGTGGAATATGTCGCCGCAAAAGCCCAACGAGCTGTGGCGTCGATGACCACAGTAGCCCCAGCAACCCCCTCGTGCTTGGACCCCCTTCTCTTCTTTTTCCACCTCGTGCACGACCACATTATGCACACGCACAAGACGGATCCGAAGCGCCAAATCGACCGCGCACCGATGAGCGAAGCCGAGAAAGAGCGGCAGCGATTGATGCGATCGCAGAAGGAAGCGGGGAGGAAGCGCAAGCTCGAAAACAAACTTGCATTTAAAGCGCAGATCGCCGCTGAAGTCGAAGCTGGCGCTGCGGACGCGTGGCCAAAGAAAAAGTGCTTCAACTGCGGCGCACGGACCCACCAAGCCCGCGAATGCCTCGACGTGTGTCGGTACTGCAAGGTCGAAGTCCATTTCAACGGCGACTGCCCGATGAAAGGCCAACGGCCGGCACGCGCAACCAAAGTCACGAAAGCGATTTGAGATTACGTTGAATCGAGTGTAGGTCGAGTTCGGACCTGTCAAACTCGACCCGGTCCAGTTCCGTCGAAATCGTCTTGAGTGTGGTGGATCCCTCTGGCGACGGCGCTGCAGTGCTCGCGACCCGCAGCGCCATCTGGAGCTCCTGCGTCGCTAGGTCGTATTTGCCGAGGAGGCGGTAGGCGTGCCCGAGTCGGTAGCGGACCGCGATAACAGCAGGCTCGATATCCAGCGCGGCCAAACAGTGGTTGACTGCTGCCGGGAGGTTCTTCTGCATGTCCAAGTACCCACTCGCGATGTTGACATGACATGCCAAACGCAGCTACATCGATTCCTTCATGAATTCGACTGTGTGGAAAGCAGCCGAGATCGCGATGCGATCGAATGGCCACTGACAGCCGCCACGCACACCCATCTTCACGCAGTGAAGTGCCACGACAACTTACTTGATCGAGGGCGGGATGATGCAGATGGGGCGTCGATGCCAAGACCTTGGACAGAGTGTCCAGGATCGCACGGTACTTGTGGATCGAGTACGTGTAGAACCCTTCGACCATGATCACGTCTGCTTCATGGCGGAGCAGGAGCATGCGAGCCAGCGTTTCATCCAATGCGTCGCGATTCAAGTACGCCATGGCCGTCGAGTACACGTCGTCTAGACAGAGCATGAGCATGTACCGCTCTCGCCTGACGGGGTAAACAAGTCTCCCCTGTGCAGTCGAGAACACAGCAAACTCTTTACCATCGGTGTAGGTTGGTTCGATGAGCTCAGCTTCAAGCGAGTCGAGCTCCTTTTGTGCGTCGCCAGCTTCGCCTTCCTGCTCCACCACATCGAAACCAATTGGTATCACTCGATCCTGGAACTTCCACGAGCAGAACCATCGTGCTTGCGCACCGAGAACGTACCACGGCAACCACCTTGTTCCAGTGAAGCAGGGCAATGAGCGGTGCACCTTTAAAGATGATGAGCCGATCGTGACGAGAACGATGGTCGAACGAAGGTCGTACCCATTCGAGAAAACGCGGCTGCGCGCAGCCTCCACGCTTCCAAGTTGTCACCGTTGATCAGAATCGCATCTCGAAACGACTCGGATGCCGACGCGTAATGGCACCGCTCCATGTGGCACATGCCTAGTGAGACAAGGGTCAGATCTTCGAACCGACGTAGGATGACAGTACCGATGCCTATCAAACAGTCTACTCGAAGCATCTTCGCAATGCCTTTCAAGTCGGAGCTCTTGGGAAGCGATGGCGGACCTACAGGAGTGTTCTGCGGAGCAGAGTGGTTGCAAGGACCGCTGCAAGCGTGGTGGTCGGGTCCACCAGAATTGGATAGATTGTTTGGTTGTTGTTGCAGCAACTTGGACGTTTGTTCGATCTCGGTTTCAATGACATCGAGCTGTGGAATAACGTTGTCGAGCTCGTCGACCGCCCGAAGCGCTTCGCGGTACGATGCCAGAGCATCTGTCGCTTGATTCTTGGTGAGGAATGCACTTGCTTGGCCACGGGACCGCATCGCCGTCTGGATGCTCGAACTCTTTCGCTGCAGCAAACCTGCTTGCTTTTCAAGCACAGCCACGACGCTGTTGCTGTCCATTACTACTGAGATGCCTCCTCGGTCGGCATTCTTCTTGTTGTTTCGGTCGGCGAGCCGTTTAGCCTTCAATGCCGCAACTGCTGCACGTGTTGCTAACACCTCCGCGGAATCCCCCGCCTCGTCCACGACGTTGTCCTTCTTCTTCAGGAACTCTTGCTTCTTCTTGAGTTTTTCTTCCCTGGCGTCCGCTTCATCGAGCTGCTGCATCACCTTGTCGACATCGTATTTGTCCCATGCTTCGTAGGACGTCGCCATGTTCAATGCAAGATCCACCGCCAAAGGTCGAGATATTGTCGACTTTGATTGGTTGAAATGAATGTTGGTTTAGCCAATCACGCGCCATAATGACCCTTCGTTTCCCTCCAATCAAATGACCCACAGCAATTAGCATCTTCAATCCCATCGATCGTCCATGGCGCAACAAGAAGGCGCGGCACCGGCGGGGGCTCAAGCGGCCGTCCTGGTCAAGTCAGAGCGCCTGGACAATGGAGATTACTCGAAAGTGAAGGGGTACTGCATGATTCATCCATTCTTCCAGATTGACGATCTCCCTGCGCATGTAGATACGACTTCAACAACGGTGTCGACTATGACAACCTGTTCAATTCATACCGGTTTATGGGCTTCCAAAGCACAAATTTTGGCAAAGCGGTGGAAGAGATCAACCGCATGGTAGGTACACTATGTCATGACGGTACATTGTGCTCACCCCCAAGAATCTGACGCCTTTTCAGCGTGCATGGCGGCTGTCGGACGAACCCGTCGACGAAAACGACGACGACGACCTGCAAGATCCAGCCGTGCGTGCCAAAACCACATGCAAAATCTTCTTGGGGTATACGTCCAACTTAATTTCGAGCGGACTGCGCGAGACTCTTCGATTCCTGGCCCAGCACAAGATGGTGGACGTGATCGTTGCGACAGCGGGCGGCGTCGAAGAAGACTTCATCAAGTGTTTAGCGCCAACGTACGTCGGGGACTTTGCGCTCAAGGGTTCCGACCTTCGGCGTCGAGGCATCAACCGCATCGGAAACTTGCTTGTGCCAAACGACAACTACTGCAAGTTCGAGGACTGGCTCAATCCCATTCTCGACGCCATGCTGGAGGAGCAACTTACTCAAGTAAGCCCGATCTACTCATCTCTTTGTGTGGCAGTTCAATGCAATTGCTTGGACGTGGCGCGTGTCGACGAGATGCGCGAACACACAATCCATACGATTGACCGTTGCTTTCGCAGGGCACTGTGTGGTCGCCCAGCACCATGATCCACCGCCTCGGCAAAGAAATCAACCACGAGGATTCGGTCTACTACTGGTGCTACAAGGTGCGTTTGCCGTGCGTCGGTGGCTCCTCAAGGTCGCTGCAATTGTGTTGATGGCGACTCAACGTCGTCCCTTCTCGTGATAGAACAACATTCCAGTGTTTTGTCCCGCGCTCACGGACGGATCGATCGGTGACATGATCTATTTTCATTCGTACCGCAAGGAAGGGCTGGTGCTCGACATCGTGTCGGACATTCGGCGCATGAACGACCACGCGATCCGAGCCAAGAAGACCGGGGTCATCATCCTCGGCGGTGGCGTTGTCAAGCACCACATCCTGAATGCCAACCTCATGCGAAATGGCGCCGATTTTGCTGTGTTTGTCAATACTGGCCAGGTACGTGCCGACCGACCTCGCCGTGGATCTCTATGGTTTGAACCGTGGAAATAACGCGGTAGGAATTTGACGGGAGCGACGCAGGAGCGCGCCCTGATGAAGCAGTGTCTTGGGGTAAACTACGACTCAATGCGACGCCCGCCAAGGTGCAGCCACGTTCGTGTTGGGGCTGTACCAGAAGTTGATGGTATGAGTAGGTGTATGCGGATGCGACGTTGGTGTTTCCCTTGTTGGTCGCCCAGACATTTGCCAAGGACTTCACCGCAGTCGGTACCGTTGGATGAGTTCTCCACGAATGCAACGGCGTAATGCGCTACCTCCCACTTCGTACCATTAACATTACCTTGCACTACACGATGGTGTGAGCGGAGGAAGCCTTGCCCGGTGCTAGCGCCCCCTCGCTGTCCTTGGTACGGTTGCTGGATGTGCGGCTACTGTGGGGGTGACACGGCGACGGTTCATCTGAAGTTAATGCGACCAGATGCGGTGACGAGTGGGGGCCTGGATTTGACTCGCTTCGCTGAAGCATCGCACCAGCGCGACCTGTCGGGACGTCTTCGTTTGTGGGTGAGCTGGCCGCGCGCAGGAGTTGGAGCTTGGGGCGTGTCGGAGCTTCGTCCATTCGAATGCCTACAAGCAGCAGCCCCATTCAATCGTCGGCCGCCGCATTCCATCACACCGACCTGGCCCATTCGAGCAGATTGTATTGGCTTGCTGCACAATGTTTCCGTCCAGGTCTAGTTGCCATGGCGTCATGCGTGGATATCAGGATTATGAAGTCGCTGTACCTCGCAGTTCTTCGTAGTCAGCGTGTGCTACAGCCAAGAGAGTGAGCCCGATATCGACCCATGCACACGCACCTGGACTGCCGTGGTTCTTGTAGTACAAGTACTGGTGCGCAAAGTAGATCACGACCACGATCAGCGTGATGACAATGGCCAGTGCCACATACAACAACAGGTCAATCGTCGACGTCACGCTGAACTCTACAAGTCCCAACATCGTGCCCGCGTTAGCCCATGACGCAGCCTCGTGCGGCAATTCGAGATGGCCTCACCGAACCCGACCATCCCAACTGTTCCCGACGCGGCGGATCTCAGTGGGGGCGGTGTGAAACGTCAATACCTCTGCTCCGATCTGTAACTGACACCTCTCGCATCACAATCGCGATGGAAGCGGGCTGAGTGCCTGAAGTGTGTGATCTTTGACTTGCTCCAAGTGACCCAACTAGTTGCTTGTGTCGTGCATGCGCTTTGTCGTTTGAAGCACGTCCCTGACCTGCCCATTTGAGACACTGTCACTCGTGCGCTTCGTTCCTGCTGCCCACTGTCGTCAATAAGGCCCGAATCTCTCTTGTTCCCCGTCCAAGCTCCATCACCCAGGACTGAACCGCTCGCTCCTGGAGACCTCTGCCGCTCGACAAAATGTCCCTGGTTGGATTTTCAAAGTTGTCAGGTGCTCGAGAGGCAATTATCCGGACCCGCGCGTTTTTCAGCCAATAGACGGCGCTAGTTCCGTTTTATCCGGAATCGCTGGGGGGGAAACCTCATTTGCCAAAGCAATCGATGGAGATCTTCGCTTCAGCGCCTGCGAGAGACCCGCCGCGACAGGACACTCCCGCCGGGACTGACGCAGTTAAGGTCGATGCCAAATACGATCAGTCGCCTGAGGAGCTTACTGCAACGCTCCTCGATGGCCAAACCAGCGATCTCTGCGACATTGCCGTCGAGGCAAAACGCGCGAAAGTCGCTGACGACGTCGAACACCCTCATGCCTATTCGACAAACGATGCTTCTACACTCGCGCCCTCGTCAGTGAGCTCGCCGAACGACGCGGTAAAGAAAATCGAAGTCGGAGAGAGCAATGCAATATCACCTCAACTCTTTTCGGCGGACGTGACATCATTGGCAATGCCTGAGCCTACGTCAATAGTCATGAATTCAAAGTCACCGGGGCCCAAGAAGGACAGCATATCTTGGATGTTGACGAAAAACACGACAGTAACCACATCGTTGACGATCGAAGCTCTCATGGAACGTTTCCGCGAAGAACGAATGCCGTTCCTCATCAATTTAAAGGCCAGCGATCGCGTGGACATCAAGTGCTATAAATACAGGCAATGGTTTGCAGCCAAGGTCATAAAAGTCTCGGACAGAACGATCAAGATTCATTTCAACGGATTCAAGAAAGACTACACCTACGACCGCTTCGACTACATGCACATTGCACCGCAAGGCACGTATGTCGAGCGTTACGACCCGTCGCTCGGGGCGAAATGGAAGCCCCAACCTTCGGCCATCGACGCTGATTTGGGAGGGCTGACTTACATTCCCGAGAAGAAGCAAAAAAACACACAAGTCCCCAAGCGAGCTCGCCCAACACCACCAAACAAAGAGGCAATTGCGGGCGAAGTGATTAAGAAGTCTGTGTCGCGGAGCCGTGCAACTCCGATTGCCGATCCCTTCGTTGACAAGCAGGAACGTCTGGTCGCTGACTCGCTACCGGTTATCATAAAACCTTCGCCTTCAAAACGTCTCAAAACCGAACTAAAACTCGTCCCGTCCGACCCATTCAAAGCCAAGGGAATCAGCCGCGATGAACTGCCGCTCTGGCTTGCTCCAACGAGTACGGTCAAACCCACGGGTGACTTCCGGACTGAACTCGAACGAGAACAAGAAGTGTGCTCAGCGTGTCTGGAAGTAGAGGACGCGGAGGGGACTGAGTACGTATTGTGCGACGGACCCTGCCTTGGCTCGTACCATCTTGGATGCGTCGGCTTATCCAGCGACGACAAGCTCCCGGACGAGTGGAAATGCGACAGCTGCGTGAGCCATGAATATGAGTGCCTGATATGCCACAAATTTGCAATCGCCGGAGAAGCGCTCGTCAAGTGCGCGCTTGAGCACTGCGGCAAGTTCTACCACCCCGAGTGCCTCGTAGAGCACCCGCACACGCAAGTCGGTCACAAACACAAGACACTTGTGTGTCCTCGCCACACATGCGACAACTGCAGCGGCAAGAAAGGATCGGAGGGGCTCATGAAATGCATGTACTGCGCGACGGCATATCACCCGCTGTGCATCCCGCCGAGCTGTCGCTTCAACAATTATGCAATGGTGTGTGGCAGAGATAAGGCCAAGAAGTTGCCGTCGATTCCCGACTTTTTCGGGCCGGACAAGATTGTGTTTGATGGCAAATTCAAGTTTCCCGACATATTCTTACCCAAGTTGCCGCCGCCGCCCAAAGTCGACGACGAAGCTGAAGTTGCGGCGGCAGCATTGAAGCTCCAGCAATTCCAGTTTCGCTTGCCCATGGCGTACTTGGACGAAAGCAACGCGCCGCCTCCGCGCTTCCAAAAGCTGCGCCGAAACCAGTACCAGTTCAAGCCCATCAAGCTCGACATGAACGACTTGCCCATGTGTCAATGCAAAGGTACAGACTTACATGGCTATTGTATGCAGTGTGGTCATTACCTTCATAGACAAGTGCGACGAAGACTGTACGAATCGTGCAGCTTTCGTTGAGTGCATTGGCAATACAGGAGACAAAAAGGAAAAGCACTTCAACTGTCGTGTCGGCCCGGACTGTGGCAACCGCGCGCTACAAATCGCTGCCATTCCCAAGACCAAGGTGTTCAAGACGACCAATGGCCGCGGCTTTGGGTTGCGCGTGCTCGAACCCGTTAAAGCCGGCGCGCTCGTGATCGAGTACGTCGGCGAAGTCATCACGGCGTGGATGAAGCAGGACCGCATGATTGCGCACGCTGAAACGAGCCCAAACGATCCCAACTACTACATCATGGAACTGGACAAGAACGTGTACTTGGACGGCCGTGTCAAAGGCAGCGACTCCCGTTTTATCAACCACTCGTGCGACCCAAACTGCCACTTGCTCAAGTGGGAAGTCGGCGAGTACAAGCGCATCGCGATCACAGCGCTGCGCGACATCGAAGCGGACGAAGAACTGTCGTACGATTACCAAATGGAAACGACGTCGACAGAATCGTTCAAGTGTCACTGCGGCGCGCTCAGGTGCCGTGGGACAATGGCCCCCGACAACTTGAACAAAGAAGCCCACGCCAAGTTGAAGTTGGAAGAAGACAATGCAAAGAAACTAGACAAGAAGAATGCAACCAAGAAGCGAAAGCGCACGACAACGAGGCCTGCGATGGCCGCCGCAGTCGAACCACCAAGCTTCACGTCCAAGAGCTCGTCCCGACGACATTTGGCTGCCGCCACTGACGAAAGCGACATCAAGCAAGAGGAAAGTCCCAACGACAAATCGGAGGACGCTACCGCCACCAACGAATCCCCCACGAGCTCGTCTGACTTTGCCACTACCTCAGACGACGGTGTTCCTACGGACGGCACAACATCGTCGACTGCGACGACACCAACGAGAGTGGATCAAGTCATGACGGCAAAACCTGACGGCCCTGACAATGCCGCTGAAACGAGTGAAGAGGACGCAAGTCCTGCACGACCTAGCGGTGATGTGACCGACCTGGCCGCCGGCACGGTCCTGAACCCCCACGATGCAAAATACCCTCCAAAGGATATAAAAGCCGAAGCTGCAGTGGTCGGAGAGCCACTTCCCATGGCCCCCATCAACTCACCGACAACGCTGTAATGTGTGCAGCGTTTCGTGGGCCATGAGTTGTTCGTGTGCTGCTCGACATGCAATGTAAGAAGTGATTTGTTCCAAAGACGACAACTTAGAGTTGAGCGGTGGTGCTCGCTTGGGGTGGACGGGACGATGTCGACTTGGCTCGGTAGGGAAGCGGCTTGGATGGAGTTTTCTTGATCACGCGCTTGTCAGGAAGGGTGCCACCTGCATGATGCGATCGAACGCCCTTGAGATTTGAATGCTCTTCCTCGCGCGACGTAGGACATGATGTACCTGGGCATGTCGAGCCACTAGATCTGGCATGGCTGGGTGGAGCAGTTGTCCCATCTGTGCAAATGAGTCACAGAGCGCATCGACAGGAAACCTCAAAATACCTTCGAGCTCGCGATACGTGTTTTGTTCTGTGCATGAAGAGTGCAGGGTGAGATGCGTGCAGAACCATGAGGCTGTCAGGTTCACGTCCGTACCGTCAAACTCGGCGTCCGCGCGCTTGTTGAGCCAGCAAAAACAGATCCCGACGACGATAATGAACACAGCGAGGCCGAGGATGACATAGAAGACGACGGAGAGTACGTTTAGGAGCGTCGAGCCTTCTGCCAGCACTATCCATGTCATGCTGAGCATGCATGCACTCCAAGTCGAGTGAAGCGACGTACGATTGCTCACATGCCATGCGACCGCATCCATCGTCGTCGCGGCGCGATCTTTCGGCCACGAACGAGATCTTTTATTCGAGATTTCGACGTTAGCATACTTTATCCAAGTGAATTTTTATCGCTCGCACACGACCGTTTCGTTGTGGATCAGCTGGCAGTTACACGTGCCTGGCAAACATGGAATCCCCGCAGCGTCGTCCTTCCTGCCAAGGCAATGGCACCCAGTCTTTCCTGCCGCTACATGCCACGATCTCTCGGGCAGTCGTGAGGTACGGCGCAATGTGACGGTCATTGCGTCATCCCTCGAGCGGCAGAGGCCGACCTCGACTGCGTTATGTCAACTACATGACAAGACGGATGGACCATGCCTTGGCAGTCGAGTCCATCGATGGCACGGGCGATTCACTCAAACTTCTATCATACGGTTTAATTTAAACAGACAGTCAATCGCACTGGGTGTCCCAAAGCTGTGCATGAACAAGTCACGGAGCTTGCCGATCCTGTGCGTCCAAGAACGCGGTAGTGGAAGAATGACACGCATCGCACAAGTCGGGCGTGTTACCCGAGGTTGTGTCGCGAATCAGCGCTTCCGTAAACGCCCACAGCTTCCTCCCGAGGACTTGGTTGTGGCCCATGGAATCGGTCGCGCCGAGTTTTGCAATCGGGACAAAGTATTCGCCGTGCCAGTTGTGCGTAACAATGTCGTCGGATGTCGCCACGTACAGTTGCGTCTTGGCGCCGTCGTCAACTTCGAGCTCGAACAACGACAGAATGAGCGAGGCCAGCCAGTGTTGGTGGGTCGTCGGAGCCGTCTGGACGATGCCAGGGTGGACGACATTCACGTAAACGTTCATGACATTGCGCACTTCGAGTTGACGAGTCAGCTCCCTTGCAAACAAAATGTTGGCCAGCTTCGACTGGCTGTACCAGTTCCACGAAAAGTACTTTTGGGCATTGTTCAGGTTGGTGAAATCGATGCCAGGCGCGCGCACATGTGCCCGCGAGCTGACCATGACCACTCGCGACGGTGCCGATGCTTCCAGGATGGGCAGCAGCCCCGTCGTCAAGGCGTGGTGGCCGACGTGGTTGGTGGCAAACTGCGACTCGATGCCGTCGTTCGAGAGCGTGAACGGCGGCGCCATCACGCCAGCGTTGTTGATCAAGATGTGGAGCGGCAAGTTGCGGTGTCGGAACGCGTCCACAAATGCATGGACCGATGTCAAGTTCATCAGATCCACGTGCATGAACTCGAGCTGCGTCGTGGCTGTCTGCAGCGACCTCGCCACTTGATGGATCACTCCGAGTGTCTTTTCACGTGACCGGCCTGCGAAAATGACATGGCAGCCCTTGCGGGCGAGTTCGCGGGCTGTGACGAGACCGATGCCGGAGCTAGCTCCCGTCACGATGGCGACCTTGGACCGCAGGTCAGGGATGTCGTCGAAGGTATACCTGGACCGCGCCGACCCACAGCACCACAGGCACCCCGACATCCCCATCGCTCGCTCGCAAAGACACACACAGCCGGGTCGAACATTTTGAAGTTGATGGGGGTGATAGGCATGCGACGATGTGATTGGGTAAAATTCTCCAACACCACGTAATTTGGACGACGTCAATGAGCAGCTGGCGGCGATCTCGACGCGCGACCCGCTTCGGACGTGCCAGGGCGACTTGTAGCACCGAGTACAACACGAACAAGTGGGCTCTATAGCACCCCGCAGCCCCCAACGAGTCCATGGCGACGTTGTCGCTGCATGGCGAGATTCAAGAGTACTTGGTGAAGCACGTTATTTCGCACGCGCAATGGATATCAAAGCGTACCAACGCCGGCTACAGTAAAGTTTGCCGCTACGTAACATGGCCAGTGTGGAACCCTCCGTTTGTGGGTGATCGACCATACCTGGGCACGTGCCGCCGTTCATGGAGCGCGTGTAGCTATGAAGCGAAACAAGTGCCCCTCGGCGGTAGAACTGTGTGGTTTCGGCAGCAAAGAGGGCTTTGGACCTCCCGCGCGGGACATTCAATAGATGTTGAGGGGGGAATGCATCCGATGGCAATTGGAATCGGTCCCACATGTGGGGGGGGCTCAGGTCCGTGGCATCGCAGTCGGCGAACGCCCCCAGACCGCCCCCCACTTCACCACGACGCCTTGAGCAAGCGGGGGGGTCATCAAGGGTCTGGGGGGAGGGCTTTTGTGTTGAGCACATGGACAATAGGCGCGTTTTGAGGGAGCGCAGCGACGAGAGTTCAAACAGTGGACGAGCGCGACCGGTCGTATTGAAAACCACGTCGCATGGGGCGAATGATGCCAACTCAAGACGTTCCCGCCCGTGGCAGCAATGTCGCGGTCGTAACCGGACGCGACAAACACCAGCACTGGCCACGTCATGATCCGCGCGAACTGGCCAAGAAGAGATGCCACGTCATGATGGCAATTCAGTCTCGAGATCAATCCAACCGCACCATCGATCCGACGACGTTGACAAGTCCAAGCGAGAGCCAACCTGTTCAGGATGCCGTCGGTGTATGCGTTCGTGGCAGCGTTGAAGGCGCGATCCCCCCTCCACCTGCCCATCTACAACACCAGAGTGAGGAACCCACTACCCTTTCCGCTCTCTGACGGCGGCATCGAGCACCAAGTAGCGTCCAACCCTGTCGCCCATCACGCGCTCACCGTAGCGCTGCTGCCCATCTTGGAAAAGTGGCGCCGTCGCTAGTTCTCGTCGCTTACTCGTTTGCCCACATTGTGGTCTCGCATCGAGGACGGGGTAGCATGTGGAGGTGGCCGCCCGTGGCGCCTTAAGCACGTGTTCGTGCATGCATTGCATTCTGGCATCTCTCGGATGGCCACTTGCGCCTTTCGTATTCGGTGCATTCTCCGAGACATGCATCTACAAAAGAGTACTTACTTAGCAAGCTCGACCACATCTCACAAAACCGTTAACATCGCTGTGCTCTCTCGACACGTCTCCCCCGGCGAATCACCTACGTGCCGGCTGGCATGCGCTCGATCGGATTGCAACTGGCGCAAGGGGAGCAGACCCCCAAGGGGATGTGTCAGGGTGAATCGTGCTCTGCGACAAACGCGGCGACATGACCCTCGAGGGCCTGTACCCAAAAAGACAATTGCCCGCGAGTTATACCTGTTTGTACTGTACCCATAACCATTCCTAGTATAAGTGTGGTGACAGTGATGTTCAAATTAACCCAACATTGCAAAACCAGATTTCTCTAATACAAGTAAAACATTTACGAGTGTACAATGGATATCAAACCCAAGACCCGAGACAGCCGCGTGCAGGTGCAGCTGCGTGCAGATAAATGTGGATATGCGAGCAGCGAGTGGTTTTGTACATGACCGCTGGAGCTAAACACGCCAGAGCCCAGGTTTCATTCATTTTACACAAATTCTGCTCGCTTGTCGGCATGCCGTCCACGGGGTCCATTTGAATGGCAATGGTGCCAACCCACCGGATTCCGATCGCGTAGATTCTGGCTTGGTACCATTGCCATTCTCGAATTGATCTGGGTTGGTACCGTTGCTATTTTTGTGGAAACTGCGTGGGTCGGGACTTGTTGCTACCAACTAAAATCAATCATTAAATACTCGATACCACCTTGTGCATCAAATATTGGACGATCTACATCGTCATATTTAACACTAGAAATACGATGTACATCGTCGATGGACTCGCCTTTTCACACCCGAAGGAAGCACGACATCCCTGTTAGGGACAATCGAAATGCCTTTGTAGAACATCCCTGCTCATGTCCTACATGGTAAACGAATCAAAGACA